ACATTGGTATTATGCTTAGGAGAGCACAATGTTCCATGAATTTATTTTTCCCTTGTAAGAAAAGGATTTGGGATTTATACTTTTTAAAACTTCTGGGACAGACTATTGATACTCTCACTCACAAAATACTCTGAGGAAAGTGAGAGGTGATATGACGTTTATTACAAGACAGCAATGCCTGAGGACTCTGGGGGATTCTAGACATCATTTCTTGGCTTTACCTTCATGATTACTCGTGAGATACCTTATTCCCTGACAGGGCCGAGATCTTGTCCTTTGCAATGCCTTACAGGGCTGTTGAGGGAAATGAAGTACCAGAGTACGTTTGGTGTTGTAAAAACCTTTTTTGCTTCTCAGAATAATTCTGTGTCTATTAGTTTGACTTATTTATGTAATTTACAAGCTGAAAGAATGCTACTGCCCTTTTGCACCTTTGATTATTGATGAAAAATTGAAGATAGCCAAGGATTTCTTTAGCACAGTAAGTTTGGCATCTTCAAGCATATTTGGCAATGTCTTTGCTTACAGAGCCAAGCTGAGTGGCCTTTTCGAGTATCAGCTTATCCAATATCTTTGTGGTTTTCTTCTCATTAATGTTTTTTGGGGCAGCATCTTTCTCTCTTTTTTTTTTTTTTACTACTTTTCCCCAATCTCAGCCTTTTTGATTGAACAGTCCCAGAAAAACTGTTCGCTTTGCCTGTACTTTAGGCAGTTGCTCCTATTATTTTATTATTCAGACTCCAAGGAAAGGTTTAATTCTCCTGTGTATTTATTCCGAAGGAAGAGTAGCTTTTGTATCTATCATTGTGCCACTTCCTCTCACCTCTGCCATAGCAATAGGTAGAAATTGCTAGTAATAATGTTCATGAAAGCCTGTAAAATTGAATTATTCAATGGGAAGATCATTGAACATCCAAAACCACTCGCAGTCAACATCAATTAACTAATGCAAAGACTAGACGCTTTACATTGGCTCTCAAGGAATTTTAGGAGCTTTTCTCAATCTAGCAAGAGACGTTGGCAAACCTGTGAGAAAACTAAGCCTTTCCTAGGGTCATAAAGCAAACCACTGGTAAAATCAACAATGAGATTTAAGTCTCTTGGCCGAGTCCAAGATATGGGAGGTACATAGGTTATAAAGGAGAAGCATGGGATTAACGTAGACTTATTAATACTCATGTGTAGGCATTTTAGGGGTAAGATGTGAAACATTGACTGTGCAGTTCAGTATCCTGGATTGCAAAACAGTCTGTGGGCAGCTGGGAAAAGATTGTGCCTTATGTAACAGCCTACCTGACATAAATTAGCTCTGGCTGTTATGTCTTGAACTCACTCCTTATCTTAACCTGAATTATTATAAAGTAGGTATTGAATGAAAGCAGTTTCTAGGGCTGCGCTGCCTTAGAATGTAGAATGCTTCAGCACCTGAGAATCTGCACAATGCAAGAGGTCCATAAAATAAGTTACTGGTCCCAGCTGTTCTGTGCAGTGCCTTCCCAGTTTTATCTTTCAGGGACTGGGGTATAAAATCTGGGCCTAGTCTTATTTCTCCAGAGCATGCTTCTAGGTTCCAGTGGGGTTCAGATCCCACTGAGATATCCTTGTAAAGTAGCATGCACGGATTTAGTACTCACAGTTTATACAACATACAGCACATTTTGTAAGGACTAGAAAAAAACCAGCTGCTATCACCATCCACTAACTTAAAATATGCAATTGCAATTCAAACAAATTGGATCAAATGTTCCGACAAAAGCATATGTTACCAGGATTGCTTGAAGATAGAGCTTGATGTATCAGTCACTTACTTAAAATCAGAACATGCCAGCACAAAGCTAGCAAATTTCTTTACTCCCTCATACCTTCTTTGGCTTACTTGGCTGAGTGATTAAAACATAAGCGTCTACTTTTCATGTGCTCCCTCCCAAACATTAACAGGATTGAAAATGCTTCTGAAGAAGAAATAGATGAGCAAAAATATTATTTTAAAATAAAGTCTCAGTGCAGTGATCTTTTTTGGCCGTAACTGCTGAGAACACTAAGGCCAGTCTTACACTCGGAGGAAGCTAGGTCTGGAAAGGACCTCAACAGCTCATCTAGGCTACCCTCCTAAAGTTCGTGCTGGGTTCAGCTTGGCATAAATAGTTTCATAATGTTCATTTAATCTATACAGAAGAAACGCTGGTGTTGAAGATCTGACAGCCTCCCCAGGTAGTGTATTTTACTATCAGAAAATTTTCTGATGTCCAACCCAAAACTTTCTGCTGCAGTTTTCTTTCTTGCCCTCTCTGTTTCAAACTGGTCTTACTATAACACTGGAGGAGAGGTGCGAGAAGTAAATAAGATGATTTTGGGGATAGGAAAAAGCCTTGTGTGGATGCAGGTTATTTTGGCAAAGCTGAGTTGTTGCAGGTACCATTTCTATCTCTCTATGAGATTGGAATGATCTCTTCCGGCTAAAAGCGTTAACTACCCAAACTGGCATAGCTATTCTAGCAAAGCACTACTAGAACAAATCTGACCTACATACACATTCAGGTAGTGTAAAGGCACTGTATTTAATTTGGAAGAGAGAAGTTCTGGGCTAATGTCCCAGAATAAGTGAGAGTGGCAGGTCCCTTCTGCATGAGTCCTTTCATTGTACCAAAGCTTCAGGGATTGTATTAGGCAATATTTCAAGTGAAAAAGCGTTAAGAGGATAAATGGTGAAACAGTAAAATATTCATGACACTTACTCTATCATGAGGAAGACAAGATGGCAAGAGACACTGAGGCAGAGGCAAATTGTACTCATATATGTGTATTTCTCCAGAGGGTATTCCTAGCTAGCCTCACATCATCAGGATTTGGGAGAATAGGAGTTGTCCTTCCTACTGTGAATGCCCTGCTTTCCCCCTCTCTTCAGTTTTGGCTGAAGGGATTTCTAAGCAGCACTGTTGAGTGCTGTGTGATTACACATAGTGAGTACTTAATGAGGAGGCTGTTTTAACGCAGGATTCTTGTTCTTCAGCTCAGTGGCTGGCATAAGTCTTCTTGTCCGCAGCTTCTGCTTACTGCATCTATTTGCTACATGTAATGACATACAGAGTTTCAGAGCAGAAGTTTTTATTTCAGAGCTTCACCCTGCCCATTATATGTGGACAGTAACATTCCCTCCTCTGTGGGTTTTCAGAAGCACTCTGTATCCAGACAAAGAATAAAGAATGCCCTAGGGAGTGTAAGGTCAGGCCAATTACACTGACATCAGGGATATATATTTGCCCTTCTCACACTAGTCTGAAATGAGCCCATTAAAATATAATGATGTCCAAATATGGCAATCTTATACTAGCTACTGACATATACCCGTATTTTGTAAATCTGTATATTATGGATTCAGCATGTGATATTTGTATGCTGCACTAGTCCACGCTTTCCTACTCTTTTTTTTTTTTTTTTGGAATATTGGCAAATGTTTCTAAAGATTTTAATGTTTTGAGATTTCACTGACTTTGATTATCCAGCTGGGCCAACATGCAGGTTATGACTCAGCTGTTTCTGAAGCTATGTTGATGGAAAAATTCATGGAGTTGTTTTTGCCTCTTCCCTGGGGAATATACCATCACCCCAGTAGAGATCTGGAAACTGATAGTTCAGCATCTGGAACAAAGTCCCTACCAAACTGTATGACATAGTATTTAAGCCAGGGAATTTAGCAGGTTAGAAACCATGATTCTGCTGATTTGTAGAGAGAAATTTTATTGTGCTCTATCTCCAAGTGTTTTGACAGCTCTTCAACTGGCATAAGTAAGCATCATAGTGAAGCAAGGCCTCCTTGTAATTCTTGAGAATCTGGCCACATATCAATGGAGCTTTTAAGCCAAAAAAAAGTTTGGGCATATCAGTGATGTTGGTCCTACCAATGTATATTACAGGCATTTAACTATCCTTCTAAGAGTATTGTCTATTTGATTAAAGAGTATCTTTGATAAGTTGAGCCATACTTTCCAGGTGGCACTGGCATGCAGGCACCCCTTATATCCATGATCCTTTCCTCAATGCCAGAAAGACTTACCTAAAACACTTTTCTGTATTAAGGGTCTAAAAATAGCACATGGAGCCTATCTACCTGCTATGCATGGGTGGAAAGCAGCTTTTCTCTTCACCTGCTTGTCTTCAGCCTCAGGTTGTTGTCTGTCCTTTTCTTAAGACTCAAAGACATTTGTTAAGGGACTAAAACTAGTGCTCTGCAGCAATTGTAACCCTTTTGGTAACTCATTTCCAGTGGCTATAAGGATGAATTTAAATATTATCCAGTGCTTGATCTGATGGCCAGTTTTCCCAATATATAGGAATCTGTTAGACAGCTGTGCTAGGTAATGGTATCAGAGTAGCATACTTCACAAGGTCACTTTTATTTTATACTATATTTGCAGGAAAGAAAGTCAGTTTGCAGTTTTTTTTTTTTAGGGGGAATCACTCTGGGGAAATGGATGAGAAGTCACTGGGACGCTAATACACATTGAGCTTCTAGATGTGATATTAGGTTACACGAAAATCATTCCTATTATGCAGTGAATGTTACTGCATCACTGTCTATATCACACCCATTCCAGGATTCCTATAGGATTTCCTGGTTCTGTTCTTGCCTGACAGGTAGAGTCAGCATGAGCCAGGGTTATTTGTGCAGCTGAAGCCAGTCCAAGTACCCTTATTCATTGAAAGCTAACGCTAACTACCGCTAGACTGCAGATGAAGTTTTCTGAAACACTAAACAGCACATGCTGACAATGGGATGTTTTGCATCACTATAGCTTTTTGGTAGGATTTCCAAGCTTGTCACCCTGGTGAAATGTAGGCTTTGCTCTCTTGCCACCTGTTGACTGTAACTGAAGCTTGAGACACATTCTTTTGCTGAAGCACTAAACAAGTGCAATAAAATGGCATATCCTCAAACCATTAATTAAAAATCTTATCACATAAAATGTTAAAATGTTTTAATTCTGTGTGTTTATTTTTAGTCTTGGAATTGAACCAGGTGATAATTCCCACTTATGGAACTGTGCCAGATCAGCAAAACCTTCATACTCCAGAATGGGTGGGTACTTTTTTACTTTAACTATGACTACCTAGAATTTTTCCTAGTACAGTTATGCAACAATAGGTAGCTATTCCAAAAGAACAGCATTCTCTTTGCATTTGCGGTGTGTGCAGCTCATTTATGTGATTAAATCTGGAGTGCTATAGTCTCCACTTCCCTGAATTTGATTGAAAGTGTCAGGTCACTAGATTTGTTACAAACATATATAAACTGATACACACACATACACTTCCACTGTATATATGCTTATATGAGTATGCATGTATAGGAATTGTGTGTGTATATGTAAGGATACAATATATGAACACAGCCTACATGTGAACACCCGTACCTTATAGATTCGTGGACATTCAAGTATTAGTTGGCTGATGTGTGAATTCATTGGCTTTAGGTGTGCATAGACAGTCTATGTATTCCAGCTACCTCTGTAAGCAGGTCAGTCTTACAGGAGGACAAAGCTTGAAGAAGCAGATTCAGCCGTGTCAGGCATTGCTTGTTGGAGCTATTAGTTTTGAGTACTCACGAGCTTCTTGATGGTTTTCAAGCACAGGAGTCTATTCAAGAAATTGCTGTAATGTTGCACCAAGAAATGAGAGCTGGGCGAGGATCCCGGTCAGCCTTGTCCAAAATATTGAAATTTAAGCTATCATCAGCAGTAACCAAATAGCTGAAACCCACTAAGTGGGTTTGCCTGTGTGTTTCTGTCATCTCTGTCTACTAGCTACTAGATACCACTTATCCTTTTAGCTCTCATAAGGGAAGTCTGTGTTGTGAGTGTGGAGGTCCAAGTCCTGTGGATTTCTCTGTTTATATGGAAATTTGTTGTTTTCTTCATATAGCTAGGAAAGCTTATCATACAAGAACAGAGCCAAAAAATTAAAAGATGCAAATTCAGGGGTCTGAATCAAGCCTGTCCTGTCTTGTATACGGATATTATGACAGGAGCTGTGCAAGTAATTTATTTCTTGGCTTGGTCACCAAACTGAAAGCTATTCTGATTCACAGTAAACTGAAGTTAGAAACAGAATCATTAAAGAAAAAGCCAAAGAATTTCTGCAGGAAGATGTGTTGTTTCAAAAGCAGTGGGAATGAAGAGGTAGATTACATTTTAACTACACCAAGGGGTACCATGGCCTTATGGGAGCTGCTCTAGTAGCTTAGCTGGCAAAGTACTTTTCATAGTTAAGGGTCGTGTCGGTTTAGTTCCCTCCTCTGTTGTAGGAAACAAATATCCCAACTACCAGGAAGAGAAATTTCTTCTGCGAGCTGAATATCCCAGCCTTAGCTGACCTTACCTTAGAATATTTTGGCATGATGTTCTCCATTTGACGCTGCTTCAGTTTCTGGAAAAATATTTAAACATTTTTGGAGCATGAAGTAAAATCAAGACCTCCTATTTCCCAACTGAGTGTCATGACTAGGGTGTTACAAAAATCCTTAGACTCTCTTTGTGGTTCAGTGACATTTTTTTAAAATGTATTTGTGTGAAGTGAAATAGTAATGGCTAGAATGTCATATACCTTGTGGTTAAAGCATTCTTCTCTGAGCAGTCTTGTAGAATTTATTTTTATTCCTACTGAAAATTAACCTTCAAAATCAATTTTTATTTTTGGTTGCTAGTGTTTACCAACAGTTGTAATTTCTGGTCAGTTTTAGCAGCATCTTTTCTGTACTGCTCCCTCCATGCCAGGTCCTCCTTCCTGTCCATGTCTGCTGCTGGACAGTTTCAGTGGGTCTGAGGGACCAGAAAGATTGAATAAAATTAAGTTCTATCAAGTCTGTCTGTGAAATGGATAACATGAGAGCTAATCCATTCAGGTGTAACTAGAAATGGAAAATGAGGAGGGGAGTACTGTGCCTGTTATCTAAACTTAGATTATGCTTTCCAGCTAAAAGTATTCTTTGCATTTGATTTGATTTTGCAAGTTGTCCTGGAGTAGCCAAAACTGTGAATAAACTATTGACTAATAAAAATTGCCCCATCCTTATTATGATGCTGTTTCCAATTATAAGATCACATGCTATGTTTGCCACAAGATCCCTGCCTCATTCAGCATTAATTAGACATTAATCTGCACAAAAATCCGAATTCTATAAGGAAAGATTTTGTATGTAGTACTTCAGCAAGGTGTAAATGTGGGAGGTAATTATAGGAAAAGAACGAATGGTCTTAGGACTAGCAAAACTGCATGCTGTCCTAGATGGTAGGATTTCATCCCTGCTGTGGCTATAAGATTTCTGAGAGGTTTCTTAAGTCACTACACCCATGACTTATTTCCTGAGTGTCAAAGGGGAGCATCTGTGGCTTTGTTTGCATTAGCACAAAATAGTCACAAATAGACCTAAAAGTAAGTGTAATGCTCTTTGAAGAGACAGAATTGCTAAGCACACTGGAAGGAAAAAAAGTCTCTAGATGTCTCAAGCTAGAATGCCAAATTTAGGAAACACTCAACAGTTTTGGGCATTTATCTATAGATGCTTCATGTGATCACTGGTAAAATTGGGATTATACAGCTACTTTCCCTTCTGGGGGCTTTGTGAAGTTAAATTTATTAACGTTTGTAGAATATGAAGAGAATTCCATAGAAGTGGTCAGAAGGAAACCAGTATTTTAGGGAGCTGGGCTATTTAGATGCAGTGTAACAAAAAAAAGATATTGAATGAAGAAGATAATAAAGAGTGATCGCTAATTATTACAAGGCACGTGGAAATACAGCATAAGGTTGTGCAATTAAATCTTATCTCATAAACAGTATATACAAGGAAGACAAAACTGCATGTACAATTTTAATGTAAGCATTTTCTAGGTCTCAGGTAAGCATTTTGCCTTCCTAGTTGCTTTATAGGTAGGTAGTTTGGATTCGGATGTAAACCATGTTTTGAGATTCAGCATATGCAGGGGAGATCTTTGCCAATAACTACAGCTTGTGTATTAGTGCTGCCCCTCAAATACAATTTCTGTACTGAGAAGGCTTCAGAAAATTCTGAAAGGGTGAATTTTCCAGCTTGTGCATCTGGAAAAGGATGAGAGGTGCTGAAAAGCAGATTTTCAGTGGAGCGTTATCTTCACCTTTATTTAAAAGTAAGTATATTTGGTTTCTCTCTAATCAAGAGTAACTGGAATTCCTTGTGCAACCAACAGTTACACACAAACTAAAACAGGAAGTCAAGTGGGTGTCTAACCTAAAGTTAGCACCGGGGACAAGGCATCCCAATGTCTGGCCAGTTACCAACTGTTTTGTGCTGACAGAAATATATGACTGTAATGAAGCCCTGTATTTTTCTGCTCTGTAAAAAAACCTTTAATATCAGTTTATTTCCATTTACTAGATACCAAAAGTGTCTCTCTTTGCATGTTGAGGTACTGAAAAAGACGTATTTTGATTCATGCTTGCTAATAATGTCCCTGTTGCTAAAAACAGAACTAAAATAGTCCTCTGTTGTTATTAGCAAATATGAGTCACAAGGGAAAATGTTAAATGAATAACAGTTTTATTGCCCTATAAACACGCCAACGTTAGCTTCTTGTGGTATGCAAATAAGTTTACATCTTCTAGAAGTAAATACTTCATTGGTCTTAATGTCAGAAAAGTTGTTGTGTATTTTGGTCAGTCTGAATATAAAGTAATAAAGGATCTTTTTATATAGCTGTGATAATAAAGCTTTACTTTTTGGTAATGTTTTCACTAGATGATCTCAAAGCACTTTACAAAATTATGTTTCATGATATCCTTGTAATATCATTTATTTCTTTTAAATTATTAAAGTTGAAGAGAAGGCCTGTAGCAAGAAATAACTATGCTCCTAAGACATCTACTCTGAAATTATTTACCTGCTGATGCCCAGAACTGAAGAAGTGCAGCCTGAAGGAAATGGCGGTTCCTTCCAAGACTGACTCAGTGCTGACATTAGGCTTTTTTGCAGGTACCTGTCAGCAGAGGGAATGTTGCACAGGCAGTTCTCTGCTCTCTTGTTTCCCAGCCCTGACTTGATCTCTGGCGTGCTGCAGGAAGCTGTTCTGAGCTACCTGAAAACTATATGAGGTTGCAGACAAGTAGTTTATCCCTCCCGTAATGATTACATTTGACACTGTTGACAATCACATCAAAAGCTCATGTGGACAAAATAAAGCACTTTTGTCCTTCCAGGTAGATCTCTTGTTATTTTAAAAAAGTCATCTTAACAATACTATGCTTGTTCAGGGTATAGTAAACAAAATAGAACTGCAATTCCTTTGCATGTGTTTTTCTTCATTCTTGTCTCCGTGCTGCCCTTTCATCATTGTCCCCACTGTATTTTAACGTTATAATGCCCTGAGAAACCTGGATAAGTGAAGACAGGTTTCTTTGTAACGCGAGTTACAAACAGTTACAACCAGTTTTTCTGCCCTGGAATAGGGCATTACTATTGCTGAAGGGATTTTTTGGTTAGAGGGGTCTCCTTTCAATTTCTGCTGCAGAGATTACATGTAGCCATGACTACAGGAACTGTCTCAGGAATAAGACACAGCTACTCCCCTTAGATGCTGAGATACCTCATTATAGCATATACCTGGAAAAGAATACACAGCAGTGTCCTTCCTGAGAAGCTCCGACGTCAGTACTGAGGGGCTGAGGGTCAGTACTACTACTGTGTTTTTCTTGCTTATTTGGCAACACTGCCAAACCAGTTACCTCAGCCTTTACATCACTGTTTAGAGGGACAAGCTCATCCTCATTTCCTACTTGTCCCTGATCAAATTGCCACTCGGTCCAGGGTGTTGGGAGAGCAGATGCTATTTACTGATCATTGCTTGTGCTGGATTAGGAAAGAACACGGGAAGCTCCTTATTCATTTACCAGAGTGTTCAAGTTAGGCACTGGAGGCCAGAGTCGGGGAGGATTAAAAGAAGGTGATTGAGCAGGGGTTTGTGTGCATGGCAGAGGGCTGTTCAGGGCTGTACAGAGACCTTCAGTGAGCTCAAGTATCAGAAGCAGTATAATTGCATCAATGCAATACTTCCCCGCCTTGCTTCTCAGATCTGGCAGAGTCCTACTAATTATGTCTACATTAGCCGGCTGTGAGGACCTTAGGAGTGGATCTGTAAAACAATACAGTCGATGCTGAGAACCTGATGTTTGCGTTATACGGGTTTCTGGACTTTTTGTTACTTCAGACTACCTCCAGTCTCATTCCTTGGAGTAAGTATCCATTTGAGGCTGAACTGCGCTGGGTGCACTCCAGGAGAGCATCTTCCAGTTTAGTTTCATCCAACAGGAATGCAGCTCGTGGGCTCTGAGACCGTTCTGCAGTGCAAACCAAAGCACGAACATTGGAGACACTAGGGAGATTCACTTCAAAAATGCCTCCCAATCCGAAGTAAAACACAGAGATTCACCCACACAAACACGTCTGTGCTACTTCCAGGCTAGCTCATATAGACGTACTGTTAAGTGTAAAATTTCAGAAAATTTTATCCACAGTCTTGACCCTCCATTCCTTTAGATTCCTTATGTTAATAATGCAGCTAAGTGTGTGTACGTGCACACACTTGTGTGCATTTCTGTGATAATAATAATTGTAATATTGCCAAATAATATTATATACTTAAAAAACCACAATATCTCAAAAGAATTATTAACTCCAGTGTACAACGCATCTTTTTGGTTTCCAGTCCTGTTCTCTCCTGCTAATTATGTTGAATATATATGATTTTTCATTACAAATATCCAATAGGGATTATAAGATACACCACACATCTAAGTTAATGTGGCTGTTGGAACCTTAGCTATTACATTCCCTTTATGTTTTACTTCTCACATTTTAATAGAGCAACATTCAAAGTTACATTACAATTGATTTGTGTGGGTCTTGATCTTGATGTCTTAAGTTAATGAGTCAATTCTTTTGTCATTTTATTGATATATAAAGTGCCTACTGACAGGTCAGTTGGACCTTGCCCTAATAATTACAAACAATAAAGATTACATTTAAGAAATTGGCCTCATAAGTGTGAGCTTCTGCATAGCTGGAGTCATACAGTTAAGTAAAATTGATTAATCTTTCAGCTGTATTATATATGTGCATGGTTCCATAAGTATATGAAGGTGTATGAACTTGGTAATATGCATATACTCGTGTATAAACACATACATAAATTAATTAATGAAACAGAATGCTGACTAATGGGCAGTCACCGCATACTTGCAATGTTATTGGCTGTCTATTAATGCCAGTTATCACAAAGTTACACACTGTTTTTATAAGCTTAAAGGAGAATACATTTAAAGGAAAATTATTTAGATAGTGAAGTCATGCAATTGCAGATTAGGAAAAGCTTAATATTAGGTTTCTTGTCTAATTACCATTAATTTCCTTTCTATGCTGTGCATAGGTCCTGTAGACAAAATAGCTAAAAACTGTAAGAAAAAATCCTTAAAGCTATTACAACTTTCAGGCTTTCAAGTGCTAGAGTTTCACAACTAAACTATCTTCTCTTTAGACTCCCTTCTGGTTTATGCAGTGGTAACACTTCTCTTTATTCACGATCACAAGGTTTGGTGTCTGGGTTTCCAGCATTGCAACACAGAGTGATTTTAGCCAGGGACAGAGACTGCTGGAGTCCCAGAGGAGAGCAGTGGCTGTGGGGGTTGTGCTCTGTGTCAGGGAAGGACAAGGCTGGCTTCAGCTCTCTCCTCACTCTCTTTTGCTGCTGCTGCAGTACCTCCCATGCAGTCTCCAGAGAGTGGCTACTGCTCGTTGTTGGTGGTGAGGCCTCAGCATTAAATCTCTCTCCAGTCTGTCATTACGGCACAGTGCCATTTTGTCTGCAAAACGAAAGTAAGAGGAGCAAAATAGTGACTGTTTTACCAGTTTATGTCAGACTTCTGTCATTAACCTGATTCATATCACATTCCACCAGAGTGGTGCCCAGACTTAGCATATTCCTGATGTAGTGCCACAAGTTTTCCTGAGGCACAAGTATCCATGTTATAAACACAGCTGATTCACCTACTGACCAGCCCTGAATGCAACCCAGGAGCTGGGGAGAGGCATCAGCTCTGTGCTGCAGTCAGGGAAGTTAGTATCTTTGTGCTTTACAGTGCTTTCTGGAAGTCACACTTTCCCTGAGTGTGCCTCCTAAGCACGGGACATAGCGCTCACACTCAGATAACCAAGAGTGGGACTCAGCTCACAGGTGAAGACATATACGGGTGTCCATGTGAGAGCTAAGTGTCTTAAGTATCCTGTTAGTCTGAATTATCTGTAATTACTGGTGGATTATCTGAATTATCTGTAAATACTGGACCGAGTTAATCATTTTATCATTTCTCAAGGTTTTTTAAATAGAAATACTAGTGGAGTAGAACAGTAGATAGAAACTGATTCTGACGGAGTTATCCACTCTACACTGAGCATGACTCTAGTTCTTAGGAATTTAGGAATTCACATCTGTGGTTGCCTTTGGGTGACAGGGATACTCAGTGCCATTGTTGTGCTCTGGTGATGACATCTGAAAGTTTAAAGCATTTTTCCTAGAACTTTATAGTGTGCAGTCGTATGTTGATTTGGTGACTCTGCTTAGGTACAGTTTCTGAATCCTAGCCCGGGTTGTGTGACTACCCTATGATGTATCTGTATATCGGCCATACGTCAGTATATCTTTATATGTAATGTGCATGTATAAATATATCAGCAGCCATTTGCTGTCAGATTTGTCATGAATGTCTCAGCAGAGGGACAAGCTGAAGCACCTTCAGACAGTGGGATTCCAAGGAAAACCAGTCTAACCAAGAATCTGTTCAGACTGTGTAAGCAACTAAGTTGGCAGAACCTTTTTTCAACTGGTCATAGCCCTTGCGCATACCAAGTAAAAAATAATGAGTTTAAGCTCCCCTGAGTTAATTTAAAATATGGAATTTTCAGCATAATCAGAGGAAGGTACATCCTAATCAATGGTTTTGACTCAGCCAACAAACAATAGCAAAATAGGTTACAGGGTGGGGTTTGGGATAAAACTTCTAGAGGCAATTTGTTTTGGAACAGACACAGGTTATTCCAAAGTACTATAAGCTCCCAAGGACTGGGGTGCTCCTGACTGAAAGCTGACATTCATATCAGTTTTATCACAGTTATTGAAGAATAACCATTTCAGTCTGCAATTAGGGAGTCTCTGATCTCATAACCATATTTCCATGCACCTTCCTGTGAACCAGACATCCCAGATTCCCAAAACTACGCTCAACCTCATGTTGAAGTCCTCATGTCACTCATGAAGTTGGGTCTGTGCTGACAGGGAAATTTCAGAGCTATGAAACCTGGAAACCTTTTCCATGAACACAAAGGCACAGTATGTCCTGGAGATTACTCTGGGTTATTTTGCCTGGTCTGAGTCCGCCCGAGGCCGTTCTGCATGTCCAGCCATCTGGAAGTCAAGGTGCCAGACATTTCTGTGTGCCACAAGGCATTTCTCTGTGGAAGTCTTGCTATCTTTTGAGAACTTATCTTCTCTAATACAATGCTGAGTCCTCTTTCAGTTATTTGTTATCCACTAACTTTAGTGGCAGTACCCTTATTAACAACATGTATGGGTCTGGCCAAGTATCTTAGGGTTTGGCACTAGTGCCATTACATAACATGACAATCCTGATAACACTACAATTTAAATATTAACTAAAAGGAGGGGTCGCTACATGTGATAGTGCCCACAGAATATTCCAAGAAACTACAGAATCATTACTCGAGCATTCAGATTCCCTCACCATCAATATGTCTATATTGTCACACACATGAAATAACACTTTAAGATGTTATTAGTGGATATGTCAATCTATCCTGCTTTCCTCCACGGACTAGGTAGTGGCTTATGAATATAATAATCTTCTTGATTTTGGCATATATTATTACATGAGGGATGCATGGCATGTAACAATGTTCTTTGGTTGCTAATAAAAAGAAATAAATCCACATATGATGTGTTCCATTTTGAGAGTTCATCTGCAGCCTGGCCCTGTTCTTAATTCTCTGGGCACTGATGTTTTCAGAAATTGGTGTGCATAAAACTACTACTTTTTTTCTTTTTTAATTGTTGAGATGCTTAAACTTCTGGCAGGTAATGGGACAGATGGGAAGGCACAAATTCTGAAGCTCCCATCAGGAGATAAAATATCTTGTAGACAGAACATCTAACACTGTATTCATGACAGCATGCAAATTACTTGACAGATGCCTTATTCAGTAATAGTACTATATCCTAATGCTCCTCCCATTGCCAAAAAATAATATGCCATTTAAAAAAAATAAAATTAGGTCAAAGTTCTGTTGTCCTTATGTCACGCAGAGACCTGCCAAACTTCTCTGAATATGTTTTGTTCCAGTCGTAGAACACAAGTTTAGTGCTAATTTTGTTGTCACTTTAGGCTTCTTGTTATATGTCCCCATAGCTGTTGAATTTCTCTGTTGCTGAAATATTATGTTACAGGAAGCAAGTAAGGAGCTAGCTAGTAAAGTTCTTCATATTAACCTATTCTACCTGCTTTCCAGGCTGATTTTGATAATAAGCCAGACTCCTTGTTCTTCAGCGATGGGCAGCGAAGAATTGACTTTGTTTTGGTATATGAAGATGAAAGCAAAAAAATGACTCACAAGAGGAGCGATCGTAGAAAGCAAAAGGTAAGCGGTTAATACAAATCTAAATCATTTGCTGTCTGCTAGAGCAATGCACAGAATGAGCGCTGTCTGTCAGCGTGCGTTAGGTGTCCTCAGAACATGCTTGCAGGATGGAACGCTTCAGCAGATGCAAGCCAAAAAATGCTGGTTTCAAGATCCTCGTTAGAATCAAGCACCAATATCTTCAGGCTAGGGCAATTTTTTGTAACTACAGTAATTGAATTAGGCCCCTGCTGGAGTTCAGAAATAAGGGTATTTAGGGGATCTTATAAAAGGAGGGAGCTAAGTGGAGTGCTCCAGGTCACTGTTCTGGATATAGCCGCTGACATCCTGCCCACTAAAGTGCCCAAGTCCTTCGTGGCAGATAACTCTAGGTTGATCTGCCAGCAGAACTTCTCCAAGTACCACTTTTTCCCTTGCCATTTCAACAGCTTGGCCCTCCCTAGCGACCTTGCAAAAAATTTCTAACTCAAGCCAGTGACTGCTCAGTGCTTCTTAAACGCTATGAACAACAACAATTGGAGATTATTTTGGAATTATTTTAGTAGGTCTCACAGTGGGTTTCATCCATAATGCAACTAAAGCCGGGAGAACAAGCTCAGCTCTGTCACTGAGCTATTTCGATTGTGAAGTGCCTGAGAGAGAGCAGCTGGATTGCAGTCTCCTTGGAATCTGTGCTCTCCCACCCACTTCCTTCCTGTGATTCAGCAGTTCTCGTGTTCCAGCAGCCTCTGGTGGAGACAGGCAAGGACAGAGAAGTCAGTGAAAGTAACTTATATACAAATAATGATTTGCCATTAGGAGTGGAAGAATAGGAGTAAAAAGGCCTGTAGCTAAGTTGGTTGATACTCATTACACAGTGTTGTCATTGGCATTGGCACAGCCATAAGGAACATCATTAGTAGGGTTTAAGAGAGTCCTGCAGTGGGTGGATGTTACATTACACATGATCACAGGATCAGCAATGAAAATGAATTGAGAGGTAATTAGAAACACAAAGCTGCCCCTTTGGAAACAATTCTTTTTCAGTTACCAGTTTACATTTGTATTTGTAATATTTGGCTATTGCCCAAATGTATTTGAAAATATAATTAGTGTCTTTTCCAAATAGTGATGGAAATTAAATGTGAGCAATGCGTTAGTATTTTTAGTGCAGCATTAATGTTAGGACATCAGCCAGAACTAAACTATGAATGATTAGACCAGCAGATTGTGGATATTCTGCAATGTGCTTTCAAAAGAGGAGGTTACTTTCCAAGGCCTCAGTCCTGCAAAGATTCTCAGCCAAATTGAGTCTATTTGGGTACTGAAGAAGGGGAAACAGTCTACCTACATGTAGCAAACATAAGCATTAGGTATATTAGATTAACACATAGACTAACATATATAACGTAGTATATTAGACTGACAACCAGATAAGGTGAAGAATGACTGGCTGGGAAGCAGCTCTGCAGAAAAGGCCCTGGTGGACCAGCAGTGTACCCTGGCAGTAAAGAGTGCCCACAGCATCCTGGGCTGCAGGAACAGGGGCACAGCCAGTAGATTGAGGGATGTGATTATTCTCCTTTATGCAGCACTCATTAGACAGCATCTAGATATGCCCAGTTTTGGGCCCCCAAAGCAAGAAAACTGTTGATAAACTAAAGCAAGTTCAGCGAAGGGCCACTATAATCGTTGCGGTACTGGAGCACTTGCCCTGTGAAGAGAGCTGAGTGAGCTGGCTTTGTTCAGCCTGGAGAAGAGAAGGATTCAGGGGTACGCAGCTGCAGCCCCCCAGATAACAAGGAGGTAACCAGGAAGATGAACCCAGATTCTTCCTAGTGGTGCATGGCAGGAGAACAAAAGACAATAGGCATAAACTGAAACAGGAGGTTCAGACTGGATATAAGGAGAAACTTTTTCCCCATAAGGACAGTCAGACATTGGAACAGGTTGCCCAGAGATGCTGTGCTGTCTCCATCACTGGAGGTTTTCAAGCCCGGACTGGATTTTGAAGCCCTAAGCAACTTGATCTAACCCTGCTTTGAGCAGGAGGTTGGACTAGAGGTCTCCTGAGGCCCTTTCTAGCCTGAATTGCCCTATGCTCCTATAAGCCTGAGATGCAGCCGACATGTATCCAAAGTGGAGATTAGTCTTTTTATGATCATGCCTTTCAGTATGAGCAGTTTTTTTTTCTGTCTGTGTATTTATTTATCTTTCTGTTAAACCAAAGACTATTTTCAATTACCTAGCAACTCTGCCATTACCAGTCTATGAGATCCTAAGGGGTGACATAGATGTGTCAGAAGAAAGCTGACTGTAGTGACTTAATAGCAGTTTCCAGAGCCAGGATTTCCACGAACAAGGAGAATCTGAAACCATAGGAGTCCTGTGGAAGGTATGGGCAAGAATTTTGATACTGAGAACACTTAGAATGTTGAAAAAGCAGTAGAAAACATAGAAACTAGGATGAAGAAGTTGCAGAGCTATGGAAGATCTTCAAGGACAAGAGCAATGGATACAAGTATGGTGACACTGGAGAACTAATGAAAAAATCTAAGGCTGTTCATGAAACAGAGGGGAAGGTACTAAGAGGACACTGAAAGAGGAAGGAAGGAGAAGAGAGCAGCGAAGAAAGGATTTTGTTCAATGAGTCTTTTGTGCTGTGACATGAGCTGAAATAAGTCACCCAGTCATACCCAGACTCCTGTTCAGAAATACTGACTTTCTCCTCCTAATACTTCACATACAGACTTCATCAATTTAGAAATGCACTTCTTTTATCTATTATTCAAGGACCAGCCTCCTAAAGACTTGAGTATATGCAGGTTTTCTACCATTCGAGGATGGGATAGGTGCAGGTCAGCTCAAGCACACAAGCACTTTAATCACCTTGAAGACAGAGAGGGATGATCTCACTGAGATCAACTACTGTGCAGCTTAAGGAAGCTGTGTGTGCTGCAAATCTTCATTCCCTAAGCAAATTCTGCACAGACATTGACAGCATTGCTAACATCTTTCTTCCTGAACTTCCTTCAAAGCAAGGTGCAGGATTCTGCCTTGGGACCTGCCTAACACTCATATTAGAAGTGAAAGGAGAGAGACTGAGAAAAACCAAAAAATAAATGTGAATAGAGTATTTGAAGAGAAGAAACAAAACACATATACCATATGCCTCAGGTGGAAAGGAAGGTGACATTTATAGTGCAGTATTTCAGCCTGGGAAAATACTAATATATAGACGATGTAGTGATAGAATTAACATTTTGGCTTATCAAAATTCCCAGAGAGGTATGGAGATGATGCTGCCCAAGATACATAAAGATTTGACCAGTACTGGCATAATATCTTTTTGATACCTTGTATTTACTGACGTTATTGTTTATTTGGTTATATGTTCTTCTGGTGCAAATGGACTTCTGCTCTTGTGATGATATACAAAGTACCACCCTGAGGAATATTGTCATTTACGATCAACTTTAAGTACTGAACACTTAATTGTCTGTCTCTGATCAATGATGAGCTGAAAATGCGAAATTTCATAAGCAGTATCTTGTGTAATTCAAGGTGAAGACTGAAAAGCTTCCTTGCTCATACTACTCTTTCTTTGACTCCCATGACAGTTTTATAGAGCTATTATCCAGAGGTTTATTGTTCACAGAACTTTCGAACTCCAGCTCATTAAAGGGTAACAGATCCAGTGAAATCTGGTCTCTTAGAGTGAAATCCTCACCTCACTGAGGTCAACAGCAAAGTCTCCATTGATTTCATATTGGCCAGGAGCAATTTCACAGCTCTGTGAAATATAGGAACCCTGAAATGTAGTCACTGGAACAGATTCTCTCTGACTTGCGCTCTACCGCACCTGCTTGCATGGCATGTAGGTTAGGGCAGAATTTAAGTTGTTAGTGGGCATCAGAAGCGAAAAGTTTTGGGTGCTGCACTTGGCCATCCTTTTACATGATATACTGAGAGTGAAGGAGTCCCCATATCAATGGGGATGATTTGAAAATTAGACCTCAAGCTAGCTATCCAATTTACTAGATTCAGAAAAATGAGGCACAGGTCCATATATTTTCCTGCAGCAAAAGAACTATCCGGTCCTAGGACCATCATTATATTTAATTTAAATGGCTTTCTGTCCTTATTCAATAGGATTGCATGAGCATAACTGAGAAAATGGCCCAATGTTAGTTTGTATTAATTAGCATCCTTGAACAAATGCCTCAGAGGAAAGAATGAAATAAAATATCTAAAAATATGTGGTTAATTCAGAAAGAAGGAACAAAAACCTGGGTTTCTGAAGCACTTGAACATTTTTGTTGCTGTTGTGCTACCCTCATTTCCATACGCTTCAGAAATCTGGTTTAAAGGAGCCAGAGCCAACGGGCTGAAATCACATCCTCACAAAAGTTTCTAACATAATTTACAGACTCAAAATTTAGCAGATAAGGTTCACATATGCAACTCAGTTTGAATTCCAAATCTCTTGAAGTTGTTAGACAATCAATTTTGCAATCACTAACAAAAATCAAACTGTGTCAGGAACAGATTCCAGAAATTGTGATGTGCAGTACCTTGCAAACAAATTCCAGAACAGGTGTGTAGCTGTTGTCTGAAATTCAGGTTCCTGCCCAGAGCATGCTTTTCAACCTCATAACTTATAGTACTCCATTTGTCAGGATAGGTTATTGTCAGGATAGAAATTAAGTATCATCAGTCTTTCATAATATGCTCCAAAATGCCGGTTTTATTTGTTGGAGTCCTCAAGCACCTCATTCTTGAAAGCTAACGGGTCAACAGCACAAGGATAAATTCAGAATAAATCAGTGCATAATGTCATTCTAGTCCATCTGCTTCCCTGCAATAGAAATAAACTGACAGACTGTCAATAATTTTGGTAGGAATTTGAGCAGAACCTTCATTTCTAGCCATTAAGTAAGGTACTTTGCAGAAATTTATAGTTTTAAAATGAAACTAAAAACTAGAGTTCCCAGAAAATTTTATATACATTTTTTAAAGTACAATTTTACAGAGAACTTCAGCAAGGCCAGAGAAGTTGTCTTCACAAGCAAACAATGAACAGTTTTTACTTCTAGACTTGTTTAGTGTAGATAGCCAGCAAACAAAAAGCTTGAATAACTTTTAACAAACTAGCTGGACTTCTCCCATTGTTTAGAATGTGTCACACCTGCAGAGAAAGAACAATATTTGGGTTTCCAGAAGGAATACCTCTGTGCGATTTTATGCTGTAATTTGACACAATAGAGGATGACAGGCTGTATATGCTAGTGGTGTGCCCAGCTGACCTACCCAGGAAGTTTAATAACAAAGATGAACTAGACCTTTGAAACTGGGAGGAGGGCAACCACACCTGCTCTGAGCTCTGCAGGATGGATTGGTTTTGAAGCAGGAACAGATCAAAATAAATTCTTTTCCTGAAGTAACCCCAAACCCCGCTCCTACTTGTTTGCCTAACAGATAGAAGGAAGGGAGGATGGAAGGACAGACAGACAGGCGGATGGAATTATCTAAATTTAAGGCATGTATTCATGGGATCAGAAATGGGTCTTTCCAAACACAGTGTTTAAAAGTCACTATTGAGGGTAGAGGTAGACTGCAATTTTGCCGATTTTGTGTAGTCGTGAATCGGGTTTAAAAAAATCACTATGCTGGTGTAACATCAGAGTATCTCAAAATATATATATATGGAGGTCTTTGCATTTACTTTTTTGTTTCAGAATCTTCCTAGCATATTCTGCTTCACATTTTTATGATTATCTTCAAACATAAAGGAAAGAAGCGTATATTAAAAATACGACAACAGAAGCAGAGCTTCTCAGTCAATCAGTTTCTTGATGCTGACAGCTTGGGCTTCCAGAAAATCCTCCAATACCACCTAAGAAGCTCAGAGTTCACAACCAATATTGAAAGTGCTCCTCTCCGTTCCTTTTAAGTGATGTCTGTGGGGGAGTCTGTGGGTCTAGTATTCTCTCTCTGACTGACTGTGATTTATCTATTGACTCTCAGATGAGGCAGGGCTATTCAAACACTCCTCTCTCTGTTACGATTATTCCCCTGAAGCCACACGGAAATTTTTATGGGGAACTTTTCTCTTTGCCCAAAGAAACCAAACAAAGATATGAGTTAACGTTCTTCTATCAGTATAATCAAAGCAAGTTCCCCTTACCATTTACAAAACACAGAGAAAAACTTGCTAGTGGTCTTTTCCCAATTTTCAGGCTCACAGTCTTGTTAGCCTACTCAGCTTGGCAAGACAACGATCGGCTATTGAAAGCCTTATGGTGAAAAAGCAGCTCCCAAGAGTTAACCCTTCTACATGCCTTTAATATTTCTTATCTATACTGTAGTTTCACTTTCTTAAGATTGTATTTGATTATGTATCTCATACTATCTTATACTATTGGCTAGCCGTTCAGTCATTAAAATCTATGTCAGTTTTACTTTAGCAACATTACCATGTTTACATTATTACTACAACTTAACTTTGCAGGTAGCCTAGCAAAATGCCGGATATTGAAATAAACTTGGAACAGTTTCTGTATTTCAAGCTAATAAGCTATCATATCTTTATGCTATATTCCCCAGTCAACGCAAAACCACTATAGACTCCTCTAGGTAAAAGTCTAGCTGCTCCATAGATCATCTTACACATAATTCAATCATTCATATAAAATAGGAAAATCCCTAATTAGCAAAGGTCCCAGGGGCTTTGATTCTCACTACTTGCATTAATGCATTATGGGAAACTTTATAGTGTCAACATTCCTCTAAGATTTTGAGGGCAAAATTAATCTGGTGAACTCCTTGCCATAATAAATTATTGAAGCAATCTGAATGGTAAGATTAAAAAAAAGTATTGAACGTATATATAACTGAGAATCACCCTGTATCTATTTTTGCACTATTTAGGAAGAAATGAAAGAGGTATTTGGCCTTGTGCCTTTTTTATTTTCTGAAACACAGCAGGACTAGGTGAAATGTTTTCATGAGTCAGTATGATTCATCTTTCAGAGAACCATATGAACACAGAAGATGCAAAAAGGTAGGATTGAATTAATAATTTTTGGCATGGCAAAAGAGTTAATAGTGAAGTAAAAAAGCCTCCTGTGCTGTTTAGAACATTTATTAATGATATGGTAAGCGGAGTCAGTTATGATGTAGCAAAAATTGTGGGGGAGATGGTTATGTAGGTCACTCAGGAGCCAAGATGACTATGAAGCTTTAGCTTTGAGGGTGAATGGGAGCACTATTACCCATGAGATTTTGACAAACACAAGGAAAAATATTGCTGCAAGGAAAAAACTCATTCACTCTTTCTAAGTTAGCACTGTTAGGACAAGGAAAAGACTTGGATTTTGCTGGAAACGGCTAAGATTAAGTCTCTTCATGGTACAGCTGCAATCAAAGAAAGGGCCACTAGTTATTAGGAGGTATTTTATATACAATATATTGTAACTGTATATTATATATATAGACACACAAATATATATATATATATACAAATATATATGCACATACACAATGAAGAAAAATATAAAAACTGTTATACTGTCACCAGTGAACAAGTGGATTAATAAGACATGGCGAGATTCTTTTATGAAGAGTGCTTTCAAAGACTGGGATTGAGTGGTTTTTTTTGTTTTGTTTTTTATTTTTAAGAGAGGAATAAGGAGTGATAAGTGTAGATGACAGAAGAAAACAGACAGAAAGATTTGGCTCTCCATGTTCCTGTCCCAAGAGGAGGATAATATTTACTGGAATAAAAAGGCAGGAAAGACAAAATAGATAAAAGAAATACCTTTTACCAAAATATGAGATTAGTCCATTTTGACCATGACTGCATGCAGATGCAGCAATTGTGAACTAATAGTATAAAAAGAATGGGGTGTTTATATGATTTATCATAATTATTAATTCCAACAGTTGTTAGAGTTTTGGAAGAATTTTCTTTTTTTCTACCTCAGGGGCTTCCATCAGTGTTAAATCTGGGTCAAAATTATGTGGAGAAACAATTCTTGAGGATTTCTGACCCTTTTGCTGAAGCCTCTTATATTTGCCCCTGCAGAGACAGGCTACTCAGTGGGTGGACCTTAGGTCTTACCCTGCAGGCCAGTTTTTGTGTTCCTATCAAAGTTCCTAAGACTTTATCTAAAGGATCATTAATTGACTTTCTACTAAAATCATTGAGTTTGGTCCATTTTAGTTGAAGTACAGAGGTTTTTCTGACTATAGAGAACTGAGCTACAGAAACCATTAGCACACTCTTATTTTAAAAAATCAAAGTTCCTGTAGTGGTAAGCTCAGAATCTCTTAAGCACAGGAGAATATAAACAACTAGAAAAATTGTCCAATGGCATGTCTGTCAATAAGAAAGTAGTATCACCAAGTCACCTCGAGAACAGTGCTGCATGCAGCCTAGCTGTGTTCAGCGATAAAGCAGGAGTTCCCACTGAGTTGTTATCTTCTCCTGGCAAACTACTCACAGAAGCCTCCTCCGTGCCCTGGCTGCCTACAGGTGCCTCCTCTTGTCCGTACTAATATTTTGATACACAATCCTGAGGCCTGGGAGGGCCAGCCACCCTTGACTTAGATGAACAAATAGCTCATTGGGGTAATGCAAGGAGCATGCAAGAACTCATGCAAGTAGCTTTTAAGCTGGACTACTTCACATTAATTTTCAAAATTTCTTTAAAATCCCTTATAGAGTTCTATACTTGGTGTTTTGGGGGAGAAGGTCTGCTTGTGTGTGATTTTTGGGAGGAGGAGTTATGTGTGTGGAGATGGTAAGAGAAAAGGAAATTGAGGCTCACAAAGACATTTCCAATTTTTTGTAAGTGACTAACTGCCTAGAGCTGCCTGGTACTGTGAAGTGAAATTAAAATGATCTGTGAATTACATCTTTCTCAGGGGAAACTTGTTATGCTCTTCTGGGGACACTGAGTGCTCCTAGAACAGCACCACTGATCCTGCAAGTGCTACAGCTGTCAGCTTCCTTTGGGGTGCACAGCCATGGACTAAAATGTATAGGGATATTACAGTTTGAATCATTTTGTAAACTCATATGATTACTATCAAAGAAAAATACAGTTACAAGATGTGGGAAGGAAAGTCGGTATTGATTTTCATGGAAAGTCCTTGAGATGAAGAGTATTTTCTAAAGGGCAGATTAACGGGAAGGAGGAGGCTGCCCTCAGAGGTTCTGTTAGTGGCTAAAGGAGAAGATCACAAGTTTCAAGTATAGTTGTCACAAAGCCAAAATTTGCGCCTCACTTTTGCCTCCGTAATGTGCCATGAACTGAACTGTTTATGAGCCCCCCTCCCCCCATCTTGTAATTGTAATCTAAGAGGGTGAAGTCTCCTCCACAGTGGCATTTGAGGACATTCTTGCTTGTTGGACAAAACTAAAAAAATTCAGCAGTTAAGAATGTACCCACTGCCACAGCAGCTGTCAAGTGGGCTATATAGATAATGACTTAATGAGTCTTCATTTTTGGAAGCAATTCCATTCTTCTATGCATACATGTTTGTGAAATGCATATTGGAAAAGATGTTTTATAATTTTCAATCCCTTTTAACAGAGGAAGAGACAGGTTTATGAGTCCAATCTGATAAATAATGGCTTGCAACTAGAAGCCACAAGATCGGTGAGTACTGTTTTCTTTGTGCGGGGCTGCTTTGTCTGAGAGTAGCTGGCGCTATTTGAGTAAGGAAACAGGATGTATGAATGTACTGTAACTTTTTTCGGCTCTCGATATAGGGTAACTGGGAAGGCTCACCTTTTTTCTGTCAGGGTCTCTTGTGATCTCATGCAAGATTCTTTAAACTTTGTGTCTCTTTCTTGCTCTACAAAATGAAACATGTAGAGTAGGAAGATTAAATAGTTCATGTTTGCTCTCAGCACCTGGAAGATAATAAAAAATTACTGGCTACATTCTGAGGACAGATTCTCTCCCTACATCTTGCTATCTAGGAAGCCAGTGGGTGTCAAGGGCACAATTCCCCTACCGAAAGAACACAGCAGGGCTCCCGTAAGTGACCCAGCTCCTCACAAGGCCTGGCACAGTGGAAGTAGTTGTAACCATCGTGCTTGGTATATCTGGAGCTACAATGTAGCCTGCAGGAAGTTCAAGAGAGCTATTATAGTGTACAACAGCTGCTGGAGCCGCAGACTCTTGCCCTGAGGGTTATTCAGCCCCCACAGTAGTTCAGAATCCAGGCAGAACAAAAATGGCATAAAGCCACTTTTCCTTCCTTTCCTGCAGGACTGCAGCTTTAGGGCTGGGTCTCCTGGGAGATGTACAAGACAATCTGTTCCAGTGTATATTTGTTATTATTCGGTAATTTAATGGGCTCTGGAACAAGAGTCATTTTGCCCCTTTCTCCCGGATTGGACTTGGAATCCATGACCTCACAACATTTATTAGATTTCTGCAGTGAGAGCTCTCATTGCACATCCAAGGATGCAGTCTGGCTCTTCAGATTCATAACAAATGAAAGGGAAACCGGCAAAGACTACCGAGAAAGACAGCACTGGGCACATTTGTTCCCAGCTGTATGCGCAATCTAGCAGCAGCATGTAGAGGGAACCCTGAGAGCTGGAGCTGCTGTCTCTAGCCTGCATAGCACCTGTAGATCTCCTTCTCCCATTGACTCCCTGAATCTGTGAGCCTCAGCCACATGAAATTACATTATGCAGCTCACTGGCTCAGGAATATATCTCAGATTCATAACAAAGCTGGAAGTCTAACATGGAACTGTTGCTATACTTACATTTTTCAGTTTTCAATAATTCTGTAGTGCTTATGACTGAAAAGCTTTTGAAACTGGAAATTTCTTAAGTTTATATGAGCAATATCTGACAGATTTCATGTGGCTGAGACTGCACATCGTTCCCTTTCTCTCTCCCTATTCTCCATGCAAAACTGGGAATTCAGATTACCCAGAATCATCCACTGCAGGCTTCTGTCAAGTAACATAACCCTGGAGTGGTACTTGAACTGCTGGGGAGAGTCGCTTACAGCTCCAAAGCCACAGTTTGGCCAGCCAGTCTAGATATGCTCCTAATTAATCCATAAAGGGTAAGCTTTGTTAAACTTAACTTGCTTTCTAAAGTAGTTTGCAGAGATGTTAGCAGTAAAGAAACATTTAGCAGTCTTTTTTTTTCATACTATTCTCTCCTGAGTGTTTTCACCTTATGTCAGTGCCTTTACAGAAGCTAATGATATACTTACTAAGATGGACAAAGAATGCAGCCTTCAATGGGTCATCTGAGCTTTAAAGAGAAAAAGAAATCTATGTAGTTTAAAAAGTGTTATGAAAAATGCTTTACTTTCATTTTCTTACACATATTTATTTTTAATATTCTCTCATTTTAGGTTTTGGATGAAAAACTTATTTTTGTAAAAGTGCATGCACCTTGGGAAGTGCTGTGCACATATGCTGAGGTTATGCACATCAAATTGCCTCTGCAGCCCAATGACCTGAAAACCCGAGATTCAGCTTTCAACTGGTTTAGTAGACTGTTCAGAGTGGATGAAAATATCATTAAACCCGAGCAGGAGTTTTTCACTGCCCCTTTTGAAAAGGAACATTTGTCCAACTTTTATATTCAAGACAAAGATACATTTTTCAATCCTGCAACTAGAAGCCGAATTGTAAGTACATAGAATATTTCTAGCCTTTAATCTTAGAAAGAAAAGGTTATTATAATTAGATCAGTGCAATTACCTTTATGAAAGCATACTGAAATATTAGAAATATTTGGGAGGCAATAGTTCTGTGCCATTTGTGAAACAGGCTGGACAATCTAGAAGGAAGGCATTCCATAACTTTATCCTATCATTCCACCTGAATACAAGCTCAGATTTAAAGGGAAGATTTGAGTGGTTCATACGCCTTGTACCATATAATTTTGCCTACACGGCTAGCCCTTTTCTAACTCAATTATATGTTGAAACAGATATCGTTCTGTATGATTACTTGCAGGTTGCAAGAGACACAAAGCATTTTGTGTGTTTCAGGTTCATTTTATCCTATCCCGTGTGGAATATGCAACTAAAAACAATGTGAAAAAGTTTGGCATTAACAAATTACTGGATGCTGGAATCTACAAAGCAGCTTTTCCCCTTCATGATGTAAGTCCAGTGCTTATAATAGTTATCTAATTAGAAGTAGATGTATGGAGCTTAAGAGAACGTGTGTGTTTTTTTAGAGCGGAAGATACAAGCACTATTGGTTGTCCTTCTCCTTGCCTGCTTAGGCAAGGAGATTTTTTTCCCCAAACGCATTTGTTTTTTTCAAGAAAATGTAGATCTTTGTCAAAAAAAGGATGCTCCACAACTGAAAAACAATGTATTTCATTTAGGAGATGTTAATCTTGTATTCCCTGGGAGATGTAGTTCAGTAAAGTGCCTGGCCAGTAGAGGAAACTGAGGGTACCTGAGTAGTAGTAGTTCCCATGACACACTCTGTCATAATTTCTAAATCAGAGTTTTAGCATAGTTCCTTTTATTAGTATTCAAATTTTCAGTATTAAAATTCCTATCAATTATCAAAATTTTCAATAGAGGTGTAGAATGCAAATCTCATTTTAGGCTGTGTTACAGTCTTACAGAATGAGATACGTTTTCAAAGTTTCCAAACATTGTCGCAGTATCTATCTGCAGTAAAACTCTTTTGCAGGAAGGCTCTGTAGGGCCAGTACAACACTTTAGCAGATGATGTCAGAGTCATATGGAAATATACTTAACAGGGGCGAATTGAACCTTAAAATAATAAAATGCAGCTTTTGTAGTTACATTTCTGAGATAACCTTTTTATTTTTAAGTTATATCATTTAAGGAAGAAAACTATATTAGAATTGTTTTCCGTATAAAGGCTAGTAATAGCACAGAAAAAGAAAATGAAGAAGAAAAAAAAACAGATTTCAGAGTATTTGACTAAGGAAAAAACCCAGGGTGAGGCTGCAAATGGGATACAGTAAGCAGAGACTGTGATCTGATTTTCTGTATTATATCTACACCCGCACACCTTCAACCCCATCAAAACCACTGTTTTGTATCTAAGGTGTGTTCTGTTGAAAAATGATTAAGAAAATGGGAGATTAAGAAAATGGGTGACTACTTGAGATATTTGGACTCTACTACTTAAAATATTCAGGAGGCCTCCAAAGATTTCAATAAAATGTTTAAGTCAGAATCAAGACAAATTATGCTTCTTGTGAGTAACCCCAAGCTTTACAGGACAGAATAAATAAAATTCATGACTGTCTGTTATAAGTGGGTAAGCGGTTTTCTTTTAAAGATTTAAAACCTGCCTTGCAGGCTATTTCTGTCATGGCACGGGGAATTTGAACTCAGTATGCCTGATAATTAACGACTGTCTCTTCATACAATTAAAAATCTTTATCACCCCTTCTCTGAAAATCAAGAAGAGCCAGTAGATTTCTACAGATGTCACTTGTCTTGTTGCACCACAGATTGAGAATGGAAAATTCCATCAAATAAAATAGGTTTTATTGAAATAGGTTTTCAAACAACCTAGTAAAAAACACATGCATTATCTCAATGTGAGCTCTCTTAAATTTAAAACAGAGACTAGAAGCCCTGTATTTATCCTCCAGACTTTCCACTCTTCATTCCAGTACAATATAGTCCTGAAGCAAAGCATTTTTGCGTGTTACAGCTACTTAAAATCCATTTTAATTTAGTCCTGTTCTTTAGTTAGAATGGATCCTTTTCTATTTCTATTCTTAAGTGTCAAGGCACTGACATGTACTTAGATTTAAGTGTATGATTAGTGTCTATTATTTTTGGCTCACATACGTTAAATTAAGTGCTCGCTTTAGTATTCATTGCCTTTCTGACAACCTTCTGCCCTGAATCCTGACACGCTTTCAGAGTTGCCCTCCTGCTCCTTTCTCTGGCTTGCAGTGAGACTGGGTAAAAAGGCTATTCCACGGTTTCGTGACATAGGGTCTGGGGAGATGACAGTTGATCTATGCTGGTTAGATTAATTTATCTTCTTCCCATGCTCTTTCTTGCATTTTCTTGCTCTTTTTTTCTTTTGCAGTCTAGTTTCAGGCACCTGTCAACTGATCCTGACTGTCCAAGTGAACGATATCTTCTCTACAAAGAATGGGCTCACCCTAAAAACATTTTCAAACTGCAGCCCTTGGATTTTATCAGGTTGGTGTAACTAGGGCTGGACTAATGCAGAGGAACCTAGGAACTTACATAACAGGTCTGGTTTTGAGGATATGAGAGACACAGCTCAATTCCAAGGGCAGATATGTACACCCATATCAGACCATGCATGGGAGCATCCTTTGAGCTTGATTTTATGACAAACCGATTCATGAAAAGGCAATCAGTTAAAATTTTTCGTTGCAAAGAATCATCTTCCTCTCTTTTTCCTTTCTTTTTTTTCTGTTCCTATCCTCTCATACAAGCATAAAAGTGGCAATAGCAGTACCTAGAAATAATCAGCAGTAACATTTCTGCAATCCTAAGCTCAAACCAGAGGAATATGACAATGAGGGCTGGTGCAAAATGTGTGAAATGAAGAGCCATTTGAAACAGAAATGTGAATGTATGTGCATTTCAAAAGAAACCTTTCCCCTCCACAGGAAATATTATGGAGAGAAAATTGGAATCTATTTTGCTTGGCTGGGGTTTTACACTAATATGCTGATCGTGGCTGCAGTTGTAGGAGTTGGCTGTTTTCTGTATGGATGTCTGACAAAGGACAACTGCACATGGAGGTATCTGGTCATGCCTACTTTAATATTGCACTCAATTTTGATCAGTCCCCTAATGTACAGAGTTTGCAAGACATTGCATAATAAAGTCAGAGGCAAAATGAAAGAGCCTGAGAACAACAACAGTCATTAATTTGAAGGTAAAGGCATAACATATGGGATAAAAGAGTAATAAATATCCAGGAACCATTACAATAATAGACATTTAAGAGTTTGCTGTTTAATCATTTTCTTCATCCTTTGCGCTAAGTTCACCACACCTAGTGTAGAAAAACAAAGAAAAGAGCGAAAATCAGCAGTCAGTACAAATTGGTGTAACACATCCTTTTCAGTATCGTAACCTGAAGGGATGTATCCAGAGAGCCTGATAAAACCACCAAACTTGGTTTTCTGTAGTTCAAGAGAAGTGAACATGAAGAGCAACAGCATAGTGGGCTCCAGCTGCCCAGGATATGTTGGAAAGAGAAACTGGCAAAGTCATGACACGGATTCCCTTATTAGAGCATGACAGAATTCAAATTAAAAACACCTGAGTCATTGAGCAATGTTCTCTACAGGCTATCACGTTTTAAAGTCCCCTTCCAGAAGGGTGTTTATCCTTATTAAACATGATGAAGGGCTGTTCCAGAGCTCCACTCCTGTGTTGGCTGGACCCAAGCTGATTCATGACCAATTTATAGCCATTTAGTCTGATGCCAGAATTATCTTTCAGATAAATAATTCATCTTTCTTCCTAGTGTTTACCTAGCTGATGTATTTATAGACAGCAAGTACATCACCTTTCAACCTCTACTGTGCTGGGTTAAATAAGCCCAACTGTTTTGCCTTCTCTTAGGAGACAGTTTTGCCATACCTCTTATCACCCTACTAGCCCTCCCTTTCCATGTTGATCCTCTTTAGAAGACCACAGAGACTATGTAGCTGTTTTAGATCTGCTGCTGTTCTGCATTCTGGTAGGCAGTGTTCCTCTCCCTTCCCCTGGGACCTGCTGTTGTAGCTGGTGTAAGCATGCAGGTGTGGGTTTCCTGTTGAGGAGTGCCAGATGAACTAAGACCTTGGAAGAGCTGTTTTATTTTTAGTGCAAACAGTTTTGAGAATTACTATGAAGTATATGGGCAGAAATTATTTTCCCTCCATGTCATCCATTTTTGAGATGAGGGATAAGAATGGAAATGGGGAGTGTTGAGGGAGTGGGGAAAATTCTTGAGAGTAGATCACTGGTAAATTGTTTCTCAGTTCCTTGAGATTATTGCACTGTCTTCACATGTGAAAAAGGACTTCAGGGGTTAGTGTTGGTGAGTGACTGACTAGTTTTCTTTTTAGCCAAGAAGTATGTGATCCCAACATAGGAGGTAATATCATAATGTGTCCTCAATGTGATAAAGTATGTGCCTACTGGAACCTCACCATCACTTGTGAATCGTCCAAGGTAACTAAATTTACAGCTTATAGACCTGCTATTGAACTTCACTTGCACTTTGTTTAGTACCTACTACGTATAAAACAGTGTTGTTCCTCCAGTAGTGTCCTACTGTAAAACTGTGAAAATAGTTGGGCTTTTTGGTTCAAGGGCTGAAGGTTGAAAAGTAAAAACAGCACTAATAATAATTGCTTCACTTTGATCTAAAATTAAAAGAAAAAGAGGTTTTTTTTATTTCAGATTGCCCCCAAATATTTGATACTGGGCTAAACAGAAATTTTGTTTGATCCAAAATGAAATATTTTGTCTTCATTTTGGGGTACTTCTTTCCTTTTTGAAAACAGTTCAGTTACGAAAGTCTTGATTGAAAGTTAAACAATTTTACTTAAGAAACATTTTTAAAAGTTTTAATATTTCTGAGCTCTCGTGCCTCCCTCCCCAAACAAATTAGCTGAATCTGTACCTTGAATTTGGCCTGAGTTGTCAAGAAGAAGGTAGATACGTGGGGAGGCTGATGTTAGCCATGACAGAAGGCGTGCTGGGTTCCTGCTCTGAATTCCTGTCTAGCAGAACCTATCTGTCTTTCTCCATTAACTTGCCTCACTAGGCTGATGTTAGCCTTTGGTCATTCCTTTCCATAGATTCAGTCACTCCAAAATTGCAATTTTTCAGCTATTCATGAAAAATATTTTGCCCAGCTTTAATGAATTATATTACTTCAGCCCACTTAAGATAAAGGGTAGGAAAAAAAGAGAATATAGGGAAAAGGATATGGTGGAAAGAAAATGCAAATTGTGATCACAGAGCTATCTCATCAAAATATGTTCTTACTAAATAGCTTGATTTGTTGTCATCTGACTCATGAGAACCAGATGTGTTCATTGCCTTTTTGTGGCTGTATTAAAAATATGTAACTGTCGAGTACCGAGTTCCAAGACTAGAAGCGCTAGTTTTTCCTCTTCCTATGCAACGGATGGAAGGAATTTTGGTGCTATACTGTTTTACTATCCTTTTTCTGCATATTTGCCTTATACAGTTGATGCCAGTTTTTGCAGTTAATTTCCATAATTTACTGAAAGGTACACTGAGTGAAATTGGGGGAACACTATCAGTAAAGAGTGTTTATTAAACTACAAGAGAGCTAAAACTCAAGATGTTCAGTAAGAAACTTCTATTCTTGGTCAGTTTAAGCTGGGACTTATTTTAAGACTTTTTTTCTTTTCAATTTTTTCCAGAAACTCTGTATATTTGATAGCTTTGGAACATTGGTGTTTGCAGTATTTATGGGAATATGGGGTAAGTCAATTTCAACAACTGCGGTTTGTCATCTAATTTTGGCCAAGCCTAAAGCATCAGCCAAGAAAACATGGACAAATTTACAACTACTTCATTTTCTAATAGTCAGCAATAGTAGAATAGTAGAATAGTAGCAATAGTAGGAAACATATACATTCACAGTAAACTCTTTTTAGCATCATAAGAAAACAAAAAATGTAGAACTTAAAGGAACAGGTGAGAATGTTGCTCTTCAGTTTCATCCGACTTGGAGAAAAGTAAGAGAAAAGTGATTAGAGCTTCCTCATGTTCATCCAGCAGGATCCACACACTTAAGTATCTCTGGCAAAGGAGCTGTTTTGCTCCAGAGAGTCTTGGAGTTGTTTGTGCCTACTAACAGCTGTGTGACTGTGCAAGGCAGTGGAAAAATACAGTCATTTATTATATTTTCCAGTAATTTTTTGCTCCTGTCTTCATTTAAGAAACTGATTTGGTAAAAATGCAGTAATTGCAAGCACTAGAGATGTCTTGTAGAAGAAAAATGTATATGAAACCAGGATATTTCCTCTGGGTGAAACCACTTAGAACTGGATTCAAGGGATTATGCAAAGTTTATTTTTGCAGAAACAGTTTCATTTGTTCGTATTAGGAACTTTGTTAAATGGCTTTTATTGCACTGTCTCATCCAGAAATTTCCAAAAATAAGTTGTATGTTAGGTCTGTATACAGGATACTGTAGAGAAAATAACTGATACAAAATTTTGAGTTTGCATGTAGGCTAAGAGTATTTAAATTACTTTTTTTTGTAAAACACATTGTATTTTGATCTTCCTATAATGACTTAACATGCTTTAAAGTACCTATATCTTTAAAGAATTATTAGATGAAAGATATAATTTCTAAAAGGTTCTTTCAAAATATATACTAAAATCAACATACCAGCAGGAAATTCTCTAAAAAAATTAGGACAGCTTGTAATGTAGTCTTCTAATGTAATCTTTTTCTGTCATCTGAATAGTTAATTTTTTTGTAATTTGCTTTTTAATTAAAAATGGTGTTTCCTGTTTTGAAGAACGATTCCAAGAGGATTATTTGCAAAGTTAAACTGCATGGTTATAGCGATGGCTGCAAGGTCTATTAGTAACCTCATCATAAGTCCAGTATATAAAGAGGTGAATTGTATTTCACTACTTCAGTCAAAATTGTACTGAATCCAAATGACCCGTGATCCTGGTACAATTTCAACTGTAATTTTCATCCAGCTCTAATACTTTTGTAGACTTACTAATTATGTTTTTTTTCTATATTCCCTTCAAATATTTTGAAGCATTATAAAATATCTGTGAATTTTTCCTCAGGAATTAACGCTCTAGATCAGAGCCTCTGCCAATGCTGCTGTGATGGCATGGCTAGATTAGCAGAGCTCCTGGACAAGAAGCAGCTTCCACTTCACTTGCTGCCATCTCTGGATCCCCTCCCCACACAAGATCAGTTAAACAAAGAAATTTCTCTAGTAGAGGGATTTATTTTGCAGTCTTTGATAACACAGCTTAGGAGGCAGAGCTGCCTAGGCCATATCTGGGTGGCAAGGTTGAGAGACATGCTGAAGGGAGCACTGCAATTCCTATGTGAGATGAAATTAGCACTTGAATCTCCTGATTCTGGAACTTCATTTGTTTTCCTCTGCTAAAAAAAAAAGGCTTTTCAAAATAAAAGGAGAATGTTAAATGCAGCAGCATCTCCTTCCCTATTCTGAAAGATGCAATACAGCTGCTAGGTTGTTTTAGCTAGCAGGAGCGGTTTTCTGTGTCATGGGGCTGTCCGAATGTTATGTGCCCTTCTTCTGCTGTTAGCGTAGAGGCTATCACAGAAGGAGGCCCTGCACTTTAGGACTCCCAGCTGCAAAAGGCTCTGGGAACAGATCAGTATAATACTGTTTCCTGTGATTTGTGCTGGGGCCCCAACCAGCAGTTAGAGGTTCATGCAAGAGCCTAATCTCCTTGCTCTGCAGGCAGAGGCAGTTGTGATCCTCTGGCCCGCTGCTTGGAATGGTGTTTGTGTTTCCCAGCATGAAGCAGCAGAGAAATGCCTGTGAAAGAGACTCTGGAACCGGAGCAGAAGGATTTCCTGAGGTTTTGCCTATATACAGATGCCAAGGTCACCTCACAGCCCATGGTGTTTTCTGGTTTTTAAATGCTTTGGTTTGGGATTTGTTGACCACACCTGATTTTGGAAATAAACTTTAATATTTGGACCTGTAAATGCATGCCATCAATGTTCCATCATTCAGGATGAGGGGCTGAACTAATAAAAAAGCCGCTTTCAGAGTCAATTACTCCCAGATGATGGGAGTAATGGGGAGTGCAGTGAAGAGATACTAACTCCTCCTGGAGGCAGTCCTGCAGAGCCACACCACTCATTTAATCTGTAGGTGCACTAACTTCAGCAGTAAAGCGTCACAGCACACTGGGGAACATAGTACTGACACCACGGTCCTCAGCTTCTGCCAGTCTTCTCAGGTGCGTATATCAGTACCTCTGCTGCCAGGTCTACCTGTGTCATGTACCAGGCCAAGCTAATGAGTTTGACTGGATTGATGTCTATCCAGCATCACTCAGGCATCTGCACACCTGGTTTCCTAGTGCTCTCAGTTCTAGGAGCACAACCCAGGGAAACTGCTGGCCTAGCCCAGAAACCAGGGTTTCTTAGCCCCTGCACCATGCCATGGAAAAAGAGCTGCAGTCCCTTCAGATTAATGCTAGCAGAGGAGGAAAAACAGCTGTGTTTAAGCAGCTCTACACATGAGCTTCTCCTGTGGCAATTTTCAACATGCAGAGTTTTTGTTTTCTAGACATACTGCACTCTCCAGCATTTTATCTTTAACCATCCAAACAAATTGCTTTCTTATGCATCCCATGATTAACTTTTTCAAAAACAGTCTGTAACGTAAAATCTAAACTGTTCATACTCTAGCCTTAAACTAGTGAGCCACGTAGCGCAGGGGATCAAGCAATATCTGACACTCAGACAGTAGTGCTGACTTTATCTTTTGTATAGTTACCTTGTTTTTGGAGTTTTGGAAGCGAAGGCAGGCAGAACTGGAGTACGAATGGGACACAGTTGAATACTTAGAGCAGGAAGAACAAATTCGCCCAGAATATGAAGCACGATGCACTCGTGTAGTAATGAATGAAATCACACAGGTAAGGAATATTTTGATAACTGGTCATAGCTACTGCAATAGACATGTTTTGAAAGGACACTGTAAAAATTGTGAATTTGCATTGGATTTGTTTAAATCAACCGTGCTTCAAAGAGAGCTGAAAAGCTGTCCTGAAAATATTGAACTTCTTGGAGGCTCCTTGAGGCTCCTCTGGCATAAGTGAACAAAACCAGGCATCGTACCTGACTTAGGAGACTAGCTCTACCTTACTAAATCCACCAAGTAATTATTCTGTGTTACTTCCAGAAGCCAAGATCACAGAGCATGTGCTATCTTTGCCTAAGAATGCATCAGAAAAACAAGGTGAAAGGGAGGAAAAGATGTTGCATTAAACATAATGCCAAGACTTTTTTTTTTAACCAAAGGCGTTTCTGTTTGAAAGATGTATAAATAGGTACTGTTGCCAAGTGCATGTGGATGCAATTATGATTAATAACAGCAAACTCACAGGGACAGGGATAATCCTCATTTCAATGAAATAGGATTCATATTTATGAGGATCTTAGTTTAGATCTCTGTTTATTATACACTTTTGTGTAGCTTTAGCTTCTGTGGCGCACTCCAGCTCAGCTTCACTTTTTTATTATTCTGTGTTAACTCTAGCATTTATTTGATCATTTGCATTGCATCCACATTCCATCCACATGATACTAGTGTTTATTAGAGGCCACTTGAAAAGTTTCAAAATTAACTGGCATAGTTGAAACTATCCTATATCTGGTACTATCGAAATAGAGGGAGGCATTTTTCCAGGGAGATTTGTCCCAGTTGTCCCAAGGGGGTAAACTAAGAAATGCAGAGGCTAAGTCCCAGAATTTTAGTGCCTGCTAATTTTTACTGATGGGATGTGAAAGCCAAGGCCATCTTGGACGCCATGGCCAGCCAAGAAGGATGAGTCCATTCCAAAGGACTGTGCACCCTATCATAAGTGAAGTCACTAAGAGATGAGGACACTCAGCCTCTCTGGAAATCATTTTTATCTTAGAACGGGCACCAAAAAAGACACCCTGAATCAGGGAATAATTTTTTAAAATCATGGATCAATGTGAGTTTCCAGGATGACAAAGCAGGAAAGGAAACAGAAGCAGGGAGTTGCTCTCAGTCTCATAAAGTGTTACTTGGATCACACACAAAAAATATGAAAAAAAAGACTGGATGCAGGCTTAATCTCTTTCTAAATCTTTTGCAGCAAGAAGAACATGTGCCATACACTGCCTGTGGAAAATGCATGCGTATGACTTTTTGTACAAGTGCAGTCTTATTCTGGGTAAAGTTCTCCTCTTATTCTTTCACCTTATGAATTCAGTTCTCTAGTAGATGTCTAAAAAAGCTTCTCCTGAACTTTACTAAAGATAACAAAGGAAAGGAATGGGTTTAGCTGGATTTCAATCTGATGCTTAATCCAAGCCCATAAAGTCAGCATCCACATGGACAAGGTAGTCACAGTCACCAGATACTCATTACAATACACAAGGGAGACGCTAGTCTATAGAAAATAGGTAGCAAAATATCCTGTAGCTGTAGCCTGTAAGCAACGCTCGAAAATGTAGTTCATTAGCTTCTCCCTCATTATTTTAAGATCGATGCCTTTGCTTCTAGGAGGAGTAGGGGACAGATTTTTTTTTACACGCTCTCCTCACTGCTAGTTTCTCTCCTACTTGTGCCAGCCATTTGGTTCAATATTGTGTCTCACACTACTGGGCATCTTTCAGGTCTTTTGTTTCACTTAAAAGAGCAAAGCTGGGAGCTCTTTAATCTTCCAGTGCTGCTGTTTTAATTAAAACTAAAACTTGAAAGAAGTCCAGTCATCCATGAAACAATATGTAACATGGTGAGCAGGCCCAGAGAAACCTTGAAAAGCTCAGTGTTTTACTAAGCGGCATGTTCTCCTAGCCTGTAGCACAAACAGGAGCTGGAAAAGAACTCATCCTAGATAATAGGAGACAATGACAGAAGTGAGATAGAGTGGTAGCTGGCAGCCCGGGAGGGGTTTGAAGTTAAGCGTCTGAAGCACAACCAAAAGAGTACTGGCTGGCTGCTGTATTGAACTAATCAGAACTTCAGGCTGAAGGGAAGAGCATAGTGTGCATAGCATTACTATGCATAGTGTGTGGAGGGTGGTGAATTCATGGCAGTTTACAGAGACAGTAAAAAAAAAGAAAAAAAAAAATCCTGGCCCTGAGAAATTTAATCTGAACAATAGCTAAACACTAGCAACAAATAAAATCAGAAAGAGAAGCAAAGATGACAAGCAAAATGGGATGCGTGGAACATTATTACAACTCTTGCAGATCACATGATTTGGCTTAAAACTTGCCCATTTCTTTGAGGGGCCCATATTCTGTAATATTATCACGTGAAAGAGAAGATACAGCCTTCATCATCAGTGCAGACCTGCTAGTACATTTGTCATCCTGCCAATAGCCCAGTGTCAAAAGAGGGAGATTCCTTCCTAACTACCGGATACATCACATGCCTTGAGGCATAAGACCTGTTTACCCATCTCATTATCTTAGCTAGCATAGCTGCAAACCTTGTTATTAATCATAAAACAGACCATCTCTTTTCTTTTCTACAGATTGACTATGCTGCACAAAAAATACTTTTATGGATTCTAAATTTACTGCCTTCTATCTTATTTGAGCATCCTTTTGCACTCATGTGATGGAATAAAAGGCCCATGATCTATTTCCTTTGGTCTGTTGTGAAATGTGTTTCAAATTCGCTGCCTTTCCCAAAGCCAATGGCTCAACATTAACACATTTCTTATATTCTCTTGGCAGATTCTTTTGATTATTGCTTCCGTTATTGGAGTCATTGTCTACAGACTCTCAGTTTTCCTGGTGTTTTCTGCAACATTGTCACAGCACATTACTGGGACGCAATCCGCAATTCGCAAGTACCTAACTCCACAAACAGCTACTTCAATAACTGCTTCAATCATCAGCTTTATAGTCATTATGACTCTGAACATCATCTATGAGAAAGTGGCAATCATGATTACTGACTTTGGTATGCCTCTGTTGTACCTCAAACAGAAACCTTATGTAAAATAGTAAGAAAAAATAGCATTTACACGTATAATAAGAATTCCAATAAATGAATACCTGTACCACATACTTCAGAGTTTTCCAACCAAATCATGTGATGCCATCTAGAATTTTTCAAATACAGATTTTCCCAGTACCAAAGAAATATGATATTCAGCTCTTTGCCTGAAAACTCCTTGTATAGCCAGCATGAAAAATCAATTGTTTACAGTTTTGTGCTTGTGAAGCAGGCAAAGCAAAGAGAATTACTGTAATAACCAAGCTTTATGATCAGTAACACATAACACATTCAATTACATTAGCTTTTGTTTATGGGAGAATAGCTATTTTCTTGTAAATAAATGAAATAAGATCGTTGTTCCAAAGTTAGATACTATCCCCTTGTTATTAAATAGATAAACAGTCACAAATATTATTATTCTTTATATCCAGGCTATCAACATTAAAGTAGCTATTTTACTTCAGATGTATAAAGTAGTGTGGTGTTTTAATATTGTTTCATTTTCATCGGTTCAAAGTGTTACATTTACTTCTTTCCTGAGTGTGCTGGATTTGAGAGATTTTTTTCCCCTGAGTTATCAGAATTTCTGCTTGCTCTTTTTCTTTAGTGTCAAAGAATAAGTTCTTTCCTTTTTATAACCCATATAGTTTTAAAATTAGCATAATGGCTGCAGTATACATGCACATTTTGTACAATCTAATTTATAATGCTTTCAAGCATATTAAGGAATACAAGGCATACACATACTTTTCTGGCTGAGGCTCCAAAGCAGCTTATAGGTCACTTGTAGGTTGGGGGTTTTAAAAAAATTCTTTTTTTTTTAATTACAGAGCTTCCGAGGACACAGACCGATTATGAAAACAGTCTGACCACAAAGATGTTCTTATTCCAGTTTGTCAACTACTACTCTTCATGCTTCTACATAGCCTTCTTTAAGGGTAAATTTGTAGGTTACCCTGGAAATCCAGTTTATTGGCTAGGAAAGTATCGCAATGAGGAGGTAAGAATGTGTCAAAGTATTTGTTTTTAAAATCAGGAGACATTAGTTCAGGTCTTCTGCTGTAGTTATGAGGGTGTAATGCAAATGTATAATATAGTTGTACATATCTAATGTAAGGGTTCAAAAAGTGACTACCTCCCAGGCCACATGCCTTATATAGCAGCCCCTAGCAAAAATGGGATTTACACGAGACCAGTTGGATTAAGAAATGTATTTTGAAGACCCAGACAATCTTACTTTCCCATGGCCCAACCATCTGTAAATAGCATAGAGGGGAATGGGAGAACATCATCAATATCAGTTCTCCTCTTGCAAAGCCTCCCTGTTCTGCTGAGTGTTCCTTGTGTGATGACAGTACAGTACAAAGCTACGTAACTTTGCCTAGTATTTCAGTCCTTTAGTGGTGTCCTGTCAGCTTGCATGGCAATCATTTATGGCCTGGAATTGGCTTTTGTGTAAATTATTAAAAAGGTTTGCCTAAGTAGTCTTCTTGTATTGCTTAAAGAAATGTTATCATAATATACCAGGAATTCATTACTTTAAATGCTCCTGTCATGCCTGAAAAGTTCCCCAGCTTCCAGGTTTCCTGTCTCTCCCAACCTTTAGTGTGATCCAGGTGGATGTCTCCTTGAACTCACAACTCAGCTTGCCATCATAGTAGGAGGTAAAGCAATCTGGAATAACATTCAAGAAGTGCTTCTTCCGTAAGTTCACATTATTAAGTATTCTCCTTTTCATATTTGAAGGGTGAGATGCTGCTTTTGCTTAATGTATGCAGGCATTAGGTCATTAAATCTGATAGGAGCATGTTGTATTCCAAAAGAATAAGACCAGTCTTTCAGGGCCTTTTTAGACAATTTGGATATCTGCAGTCTGATAGTTCTGAGCTCCTGTCTCTGTCGTTCCATTGATTTTGGTTCTAAACAGAAGCGCTTCCCTCCTCTGCAAATCAGGCTCAATGTGTTTCAGGCTGGATACTTAAAACATAAGGCAATAAAAACTCTGAAAATGTTGAACTAAATACTGTTGCTTAATACCAAATGGAATGACTTGTTATACATTGGCCTTTTTAAAATCATGCATAATTTACTTATTTAACTCATTTAGTTTTACAATAATATTGACATTCATAGTCCCCATATATTCTCTTTTAGTGATGCAGATCTCAGGAAGATCTTGTTTTCTTGTAAGCAATAAGGAAAGTGCTAACAATGAATACCCTCCATGTAGTTTAGATGAAGATACTAGCCAGTACTCTGTTCCTACTCCCAGGACTTTTTCTTTATTTTATGCTGATCAGTGACTAGTTATCACATGGAGGAGAGATCTCCCAGTTTGCTTACCCCCTGCTGAACGACCTAAACACCAGGCAACAACATCACATTCCCTCCGGCTGCGGTTCTTCTGAGCCCATGAATTATGTCCCTTTGCTGACAGTGACCCCACTTCAAGGTGTGTCCCAGATACTGTAGAGCATTGAGGCTCGGGTTCTTTGCTGAGATACGAGTTCCTGCACACCCAAATACTCTGTATACGCAACTGGTTACAGGAGAGAACTGTGAACCTCTCCCTCTAGTCAACATCCATTAGCTGGAGGAGGCTTCCCAGAACTTAGCATTCTTGCATCAGCCATAGACAACTGACTCCCCCCATTCTGCGTACAAGAAATACATTCACCTAACTGGCATTCAGAATTGCCTTCCTGAGATGGCAAATAACATTTAGGTGCTGAAATGCGAAGTATCACTTCCGGATCTAGTTCTTGACTAATCTCTCATGCTACATTTCTGTAACTACGAGTAGAAGCATTTTAGTCTTGTCTTTTTTGATGGACATTTCTCCCCTCACCCCTTTTTTTTTCTATTTGAATGTGATTCTTTGACTGCGGGAAATAGCTACACCCAATTCATGTGTTTTCTTAAATTCTCATGCAAGCCTTTCAGATCGGAAGGAATTAATCTTTCTCACCACAGGCCTACATTTGATTTGATTTTCTTAAACTGTATGTGGTCACGCACCTGTACAACATGAGTATAAATTACTGCCATTCCAATATGCTGTCCTTTTGCACCCTTATTTATGGTTATAAATAACTGCATTCAGGATAAAGCAACAGAAAATCATACTCATGTTTGAAGGAAGTTTTCATTAATTCAAGAACTCAAAAGCCACTGTTCAAAACTGTAATGGCACAACAGTCAGATCTTTTTCATTTACTGAACTTTTAAGGTTATTTTACCAATGTTAGTGGTCTTTTTCTCCCTGACTGATAGTTGGGTTAAGAATCTAATCGGAAGATATTGTGCAGCTGCTAGATCAGAAAAAATTGTTCCACGCTGGGAACATGACTACCACCTGCAGCCCATTGGAAAACTTGGATTGTTTTATGAGTACCTTGAAATGGGTAAGTAGCAGTTTAATTCTGCTTATTCTACAATCTGTACTGGATACAAGCTTGCTTTAAAGAAAATACTCATACAAGCAATGCTTAATAGGTTTATAGACAGAGGAGACAAGAATGTTTTAGCAATCTAAGACAAGTTTTGATGAGCCATTATAGACAGCTCTGCTAGTTAGTTTGGCTAGCTTTTATTAAGCAACTAAGCCTCAACTCAATTTGTAACTAAAAGACACAGCAAGTCATTGTACAAGGGGTTGTATTCTTGCTTCTTTTACCCCATCATTTGGAAAACGTATCTAGAAGCCAGAACACTACCATCTTCTAAACCATCTAATACTGCAGCAGCAGATTCCTCTGTCAGGCTGTTGGAGATTTACAGGCACTTACTTGTTGCTCTTTTCTAGGGAGCTGGCAAAACTCAGTGTCGTTGCCACTAGCCATTCTATAATAGAATTGTAAGCACACTTGTTGCAGTGTGAGCACCTGATTCTTGGTTTAGGCTTTCCAACATAGCACTGAGATAGTCATTAAATTTTCAAGTCTAAATGATGAAAAACCATAAGAAAGAAATGGATATTTAAATACTCGGAAGAGTTCCTTCTGATGAGTTCTAGCTTTTCACATTTTCCTATCCCTCCATCTGGCAGTTTTTTTCAGTCTTTTCATTCTCAGTACCTTTCACTATCTTTCCAAACGTTACTGTGTTCTGCTCATATGTCCTCACAACATAGATTGTCTGAACATAAGATTTGCTAGGAACTTAACCACTCATTCTTGTTGCCCTTTCTCATAGTTTAATGTATATATTTTCATATCTGCTTATCTCCATTAAATTAAAACCTCATCAACATGTGTAACGTCTCCCTTTGACAGTTATACAGTTTGGATTTGTCACTCTGTTTGTGGCATCGTTCCCACTGGCTCCTCTTCTGGCTCTTATTAACAATATGTTGGAAATCCGATTGGATGCGTGGAAGATGACAACCCAGTTCAGACGCATAGTTCCACAGAAAGCACAAGACATAGGAGCATGGCAGCCAATCATGCAAGGAATAGCCATTTTGGCTGTGGTTACCAATGTAAGTACTGTGTCAGCAATTCCAAAAGATAAAATACCTTCACTGCAAGTGTTACATCCAAACATGGGAATGCCATGTGTGTCAGTGCGTATCATGCCAAAGTGACTACAGGTGAAGCACTTAAGCTGTCCTAAATAAATTATGATCTTAAGTCCCTTAAAACTTTAGCCCCTGTGAATTAGGCTCTTACTTACTTTTCGGATGTTTTGGAAACAGAACATAGTTACTGTCTAAAACATTATATCTAAATAAAAGAAATGTTATTAAGAATTACCAGAGTCTTCAGAAAAATCTGTGTTACAAATGAAGACTAAAGAGTATCTTTTCTAAAATTATAGCACATAATAGAGAGAGATATTTGGAGAGTCTACAAGTAAATGCATGAATTTTAAAAAAAAGTTGTAATTAAGCTAAGTTATTAATGGTAGTTTTTTCTAATTGTTACAATTATTATGGTCATGTCTTCTTAGTTAAGTTTGGCTTTAAGCAACTTTGCATTCAAAGCAGCAGTTCAACTTCTTTCCTATGTATTAAAAAATACAATGTATGCTGAGTCATAGTTTCAGTGACATTCAGGGCAGAGTTAAAGTTGCTTTGGTGGCCTAAAGGTGACTCTGACATGTGTAGGCTTCTCTGTTAGGAGGGTATTTATGCCCCTGCTTTGGATTCTGCAGAATAACGACCCAACAGTAGTTTCAGGTTATCTATCACTATCCATTGACAGCCCAGCTGAGGCTAACTGGAGATTTACAACTTTAAGAAGACTAACCGACTCCAAACTCGTATTCCTCCCTACATGATTACATACTTACACCCCTCAGGTGACATCTCTGAACACATGGATTTCTTGATTTGGAAAAGTAGTTTTACATCTTGGTTTTAGTCTCTCTCTGTCCCTGACAAGAACTCCATCCCCATGTTTGTATGACTGTTTACAGCAGGCATGTTTCTTCTAGTGCAGCCTTTTTTGGAGATCTCACATGCTAGATACAGTTAATCTTGGTATAAATGTAGTGCATTTGCCAGTAACATCAGTGACGTTATTAGCATAAAGGATGCACAGGATGAGAGATGGTCATGTTTTCTTTCTTTACCTTTAAATATGTTTTTTTTTCTTGTTTGGTATCCAGGATCTACTATAGGCTGTCTTTGCTTTACCATCCCTGCCTTATACTTGATGATTGATTCTTTTCTTAGTACACAGAAACTGTATCTGTTGTTCTCTTTGTAACTGTTACAGCTGATTAGCAATTACACCTTTATATCTTGTATCCTCTTCCCCTTGGTATATTATCTTTGTAACAACTGCTAGGTTGCTAGTAACTTTTGCCTTAAACTATCAGTTTTGAGACTTGCCACTCAGGCACTGGACCTGCTATTGCATGGTGCCAGAGCATCTGTTTTGGATCTGAAGATTAATTTTAATTTGTTATAGTATACATGAAAAACTGCGCTGGATATAGGTTGGGAAGGAGAGAATGCTCTATTTGTTTGTACTTCTGTACTGGATTCTAAAATGCAGCCCACAATTCAGGAGTTTTTCCTTTAAAAGGATGCTGTAGAATTAGCTTTCGCATTTCTGCCTTTGTACCTCTCTGGAGCACATCTGGAGATCATTCCGAAAGAGGGAGAAGGAGACAGAGTTCAGAGTTATGCTTATGAGAGATCCGGGGCCTTGCAAAAAATCCAGTAAGAACAACTGTTAAGTTGTGTAAATACTGTATTCCAGCCTCTTTTTTAAACAATACATAGAAAAAGCAGCAAACTCATTTGGTTCAAAGGGAGAGGGTTTTGTTTTTGCCTTACTGTTTAGTTGATATTGGTTAATTTGTGATCTGCCTGGATGTAAAACTTTATGTGCTAATGAACAGTCGGAAATTATAATTAACTAAAACTTTTTGTTCTTTTACTTAAGTTAAAAATAGAGTAATTTAAGTGTGACATATTTTCCTTGCAACTGCAAGACACGGTAAGAGCGTATGTTTCTTTTCAGCCAAAACCACCTACTCTGCATGTAAATATAAGCAACACACACTTTTAACTTCATTGCACACTGATGTGTAATGCTTAAAAACAGTTTTCAAAAGTGCGTGCCACCTACATTTCAATTAAGCCAAGGTACACTACAAAAAAAATCCTTATTCAAGTACTTATCCTTGAAAATTTTAAACATGTTTATTGTAGCCTTAGGCTGCCTCTCTTTTCTTTCTCACCAGCCGAATTAATGTTCTCTCAATTGAACTGAAACCTAACAATCTTCTGTGGAGCCAGATGAAGATTTTAGACCACAGTCTCATGCTTAAGCATTGTTTCTGCAACTTCTGTCTTATAGTACCTAGGATTTTGCTTGTCAGGTACTTCAAAGTAAGCCAACTTGAAAGATAAGACGTTAGAGTATTGTTCAACATTTGGCAGCAGTGCTACTTGAGGAGGAGTGTGTCTTGCCCCCTTTTCAACATCTTTCCCCCTTCCTTTCTTTCTTTTCCCCTTGCTGATCTCTCTTGGTTTGTGCTGGCACAAGCACTTTTACAAAAGCATGGTGAACCAGATTGGGGAAGAGATCCAGCCAAGTTTCCCAGCCAGATCGGTGCCATGATCTGATCCCCTGCACAGCTGCATGAACACTTGAGCCAGCACAGGGCATAAGTGAATGGCTGTGGGTAAAAGGCAGGAGGGATGGTAGCTATTTAGGCTGACACTGCTACCAAAGTGTTGTTTGAGGAACAGCAGAGAGGTGTCTGCAGATTTCTTCACCCTTTATCCTCTCTCCCCTCCCCTTTTTTACAGCCCTTACAAATACCTCTTCAGGTTGGGGCTCTCCTGCTGGAAATGGTGCACCAGTGTGGACAATTTTTGCCTCATCCCATGAACATAAGGGAATATAGCCTGCAGGAATTGCAGGCTGGCATGACTGGGGATAAAATGCAGATAATCACCAACTCTTAAGTTCTTGTACATCCCATTACTGATTCTTAACTTCGCCCCTTCCTCTGTCCCACACCTATCCTATGGCTTTTTTGCCCCTTTTTATATATCTCTCCCTCCCTCTCTGTCATCCCATCAGCTCCGCGCTTCACATCTTTCTCTTCCATTTCTCTGTATTGGTTCTTTCCGTTCACATTTTGAAGTATTTTTTTGCCATAGGACAAAATACTGCTCTTGGAGCCATGGAGTACAAATAATCACTAAGTCCTAGATGCTAGGTGCTAAAGAAGCCTGTGGAGCTGAATTGGCTGGGCAGCCTCTTGCTAGGCGCTCAGCTGCAGATCTTACCAGTGGAAAGCCTTCCCCACAGGGAAGTCTTCCAAATATGCAATAGCCAAGGAGGATAGTGGATTAAATATAATTAGCTTGTCCTCCAGAATAGGATGTTTTGGGCTGTTCGTGAGTTTAAAAAAGACTTATCACAGTAAAACCACCAACTGGATTTCCTACCTAGTTTGTGACAAGCAGAGTGAGTAGGACAGGGACTCTCTTGGGAGCAAGATAACAACAAGTGGTCATGTCGTATGTAGAACAGCCCTATGCAGTGCTACTGAGATGATAGAAAAATGTTCTTGGCATCAAGAACAGTTTCCACATGTACTGACACTGAAACTTATGAGGCAGCAGCTGCCAAGATGAATTTGGGCTGGCTCTCACCTCAGAAAGAGTGGAATGTTTCTAGAGTCAGAGATGAATCAGCTATATTTACATATAATTTATCTTATTCTTTTACTCAAACTTCAGGATTCCTGGTGAAAATTGGTTTACTATTACTAGAGAACTCTTCTATCATTTTCCATAAGATTCATCAGGCAGGATTTCCCTAAGCATATCACAAGTACATCTGATAGCCAGCATGTTTGCTGAAGGTTACCTTACAGTAGCATAAGCTGAGTTTGGTTGCTGACCTGCATAGCATGTTCATGAGGAAGAAAGCTTATTACGGTGCAACTTTTTAAAGGCATCCATCAGAGGTAGTGTAATTTAAAAGCTATACAGAGTGCACATTCCAGAAAGAGACTGTTTTATGCCTGTGAGTGACTGCATGCTCATTTACAGAGGGAATCACTGACTGGAAAAGCATATATTTCTATTTTTCTATTTATGGGAAATTTTGAAATAGTATGGAAAAGCTTTGCATATTAAGGCTTGTTTCTTAAATGGTTCTCTGCTTTTGTCTTCTTTTTCTGAAATGCAGGCCATGATAATTGCTTTTACATCTGACATGATTCCTCGTCTGGTTTATTACTGGTCCTTTTCAGTCCTTCCTTACGGGAATCACAGCAGTTACACTATGAAAGGCTATATAAACAATACACTCTCTATCTTCAATATATCCGACTTCAAGAGTGAAAGCAAGCCATTTCCCCCTTTGTTTGTGAACCAAACGACATGCAGGCAAGTGTGGAATAACCATTTTTTCTAATGATAAGAGCAATAAATACCATTCAGTACTATCCAAATAACCTAATTTTGTTAAAATAGCCAATAAGAAATGTTAAAACACAGTAAAAGGCAGCGTAATTTGAATGGCAGAACTGAGTAGCAGTCTTTGCCCATAAGTCTGTGTTAGTCAGAAAATATTTACTTAATTTTGTTTTCCCCATAATTGATACAGTCTTCAAAAAAACACTTTAAAAGTGATTTAAGCCATTTTTAACGCAGTGGCAATAAAAGGCATTTGAGCCAAATATAGCTCATTCTGCAGATAAAAAGTTTACCCATCACTGAAGTTAGATGCAGCTAACAGTTCCAGCATGCGTTAAGCAGGGACGTGTCTTGCTCCATCCTCTGGCCATAGTGCATTACTGCAGAAATTCCCAAAAGTAGTTCCTGACTTTCCTACTTTGCCTTCAGATACCGTGATTTCCGCTACCCTCCTGGTCACCAGCATCAGTATGAGCATAACATATATTACTGGCACGTCATTGCAGCCAAGCTGGCTTTCATCATTGTCATGGAGGTAAGTGTATGGAGTTTTATTTAGATTCCTCTTCATTCAGGAAATCCTTCAAAGACATTCTGTCCAGGCAGACCTAAAAGCTCTGTCCGAGCTTTTAGTTAGCAATGTCAGCTAGCAGGGACAGGATCTCAGGAGGTGTAAATTAAGTGTAGCATTGTTAGAAAAAAAAGTGTTTGAAGTCATGACATGAGCTGAGGATTGCCTCACATATTTGCAACTTTTTTGCTCAAGAATTGTAAAATGATTTTGAGTATCAGAAATAGAGTCATACCAAAAGTATTTTTACGTGTTCTTAGGGGAAGTTTGTGCACAGCCTCACAAACAGACATGCATAATACATGTGCACTGACAGAGTGAACTGTGTAAAGACAATCACTGAGAGAAGTGAGTCTTTAGATGAGCCTCTTTGGTTAAAAAGCAATTACTCCTTTCTGTGCAGCTGGAGTCTGGGCTTATGGAAAGAGAGGAGTCAGTCCAAGGTCAAGGGAGAGGAATACTAGGTAAATACTGAATTATCAAATGTATTTAGGACGTAATCCAGGGGTTACTGAAGTCATCAGAAACACCTAAATTTTTAGAGCAGAGTTCTGATAGCAGAGAATGTCTGTAGACCCAGGGTCATTTGAACAAACCTGAAACAGTTTTAGAAGAAACTGTATGTAGAAAACATACTCCCATAATGTGAGGGAAAAGGAAAGCACTAAGTACTAGGGTTCTCCCAAATCAAGCAGAGAAGTCAGCGTTAAAATCAGGATTAGAAAATTAGAAATTCTTGCATATTAGTCTATTCCATTAATTCTTGCAATTATTCTATTCATTAGTCATTGCTGCTTTTTAAAATACTGTTCTACTATAATAGCTAGATACTGGTACAAAAACAGACTTTGAGTCTTAAGAGATAATGTGACATTTCATCTGTAATAATAATAATGTCCTTTTCATGCTGACTGACGTTTTTTCATTTTCACCTTCCCCAGCATGTCATATACTTTGTGAAGTTTATTATTTCATATGCAATACCAGATGTATCAGAAAAGACCAAGAGCAAGGTCAAACGAGAGAGATACCTAACACAGAAACTCTTGCATGAGAATGATCTCAAGGTTGTGAAAAAAAACATGGGGAAGATAGCCGACAAAATTTTCAAAGGAGTGGATAGCCCTTTCCGACCTAAAGCTGAATAAGTACTTTTTTATCTGGAATAAAAGTATTTAGCCAGCTTATACTTGTCCACATGTTCGCCACAGCTAATCAAACTCTTTGGATTAATTTCCATTATTAAACACTGTTTCTTGCAACAATACCCTGCACATTTCCCTGTTTCCCATAGGCAAATACAACCACTGAGACTCAGTGAAGAATTAACAAGTTTTTTAAACAGCTTTAGTGTGACATACTTTTCTAACATAAAATGATAAATATTATTTATCAGCATAAGAAGATGCAGATTAATTTTGAAATGCATAGAGTGCTTTCCACTTCATTTAGGCATTGGCTATTTGATCTGTTGTTCAACTAGACTAAAACTTGAAGAACCAGAATTGTTTTCTGTAAGACTAACGCCGAAGAGTTTTGATCACATGTGTAAACACCAAGTATAAAGTGAAGAGGAAAAGCCAAAATATGAAGGAAAGAGAAGGAAAATACAACTCAAAATCATGTTGCTAAGCTATTGCAATTGATACACTAAGCGCTGTTGTGTTCTGCACTGAATTAGATATGCAAACTGGAACTTAAATGGATAGCAAGATATTTCAATTAATCATGGACTTGGATCACAAGAAGCAGCAAGACTGGAAGCCCATCCTGTTCATCAATCTCTGTGTGAACAGGAGAATTGTCTTAGAAATCAATGCCAACAAAATGACTTTACTTTCCCTAGTCAATGTAGTTTCATTAGTTCGCTTGGCCGTTCTGTTCTGAATGAGTGTAGACATGAAGGTCTCTAACCTGTAACAGTAGTAAGTGTTAAAATTCTTTCCATGTACTAAATCAATATTTGTAGAGGGCTCTCTTTTGCATTTCTCCCACACAAGAGGCACCATTCACTTCCCTGGTAGATTTCACCGTGCAAAGGACACGCAGCTGGACCTGTCGTGGTACAATATCATATGATGAATTGAATTTGGACATGACCATGAATCTATTGAAACTGCAGATTGAAATAAACAATTTAACATGCCTTAACTGTGTTATGAAACTTCACATAACTAGGAGGGGGCTAGAGAGGCAGATAAATTTGCTGAGCCATTGGTCATCTTCAAATTAGGCTGCATAACTGCTTGGTGATTTTGTGCATTCCAGATTAAGCATGTATATAGAGCTCAACTTTGAGTATACAGCAGTGATCTTCCAGATTATTAACTTGTTTGTCTTCTAGTGGTTCTAAGGGACCAATTCCTACAAATTCTGAAAACAGAAATCTTGTTAAAAAAAGAAAAGTGTGTCTGTATTCTGTAAACCTGGTGATTACTGAAGGGTTTGTAATTTTGTACTCTTAAATGTAACTCATATACAGAATTCCTAGGCAGATTATTCATATAGCTATTTGCATATTATGAAGTTTGCAGAAACTAAGTAGCATTGATAAGGTGTATTTTATTCCCTCAGTAATCAGAAGGAATCAAACATTTGAATTTTAGAAAAAGTTTAAAATAATGCTGTGTGCCTTAAGCCTGTCCTTTGAAATGATGTTCAGACCTGAATAGGTAGCACATGGCAAGAGTTCTCTCTGTATTCATGATACACAAGCTCTCATTCAGCAAGGCTTTGCAAAGCAATTACATGGAAGAACATGAGAGGAAATCTAGGTTCAAAAATGAAACTAAGGATGTAAGATGAAAAAAAAGAAACTCATAGGTTCAGGAGAAAGCTTATCTTAGAGGCAAAATAAAAAACCAACATAGACTGACTGTAAATGATTGTCAACCAGAGCAGTGCTAGAACCAGCTCTTCTTTTCACAGAAAATTTTACTCTTTGCCAGTTGTTTTGGTTTCCAGTGAGAATCACAAGACTTTAAAATTCCCAAGAATCAAATATAAATTTGGCAGATGGACAGACAAACACTCCTAACTTTCTAAACAGGACGTAATTTCTTATCAAAGTATATCACCTCAGTACTGATTTGACCTTTTCAGAACAAAATGCCAAACTTCTTTTTAAAACAAAATGTTGTCAGAAAGACCATCTCATGGAACAATTCTATTTAAGCCATCAGGATTTTCTTGTGCAAAATGAGTTATGCTAGAAAGTCCAGTCAGCTCCATGCAAACTTGGAGCATTTGATTTTAGCTTTGTACTGCCACTTCTCCTGCTGCAGTAGTATTCAGCTAAGAGATTTCATTTTCCTATCAGTGATCACAATGCCAAAGTGCCTTACATGTCCTTTCAGGTGCAGTGTGAAGGGCTGGGGCAGGCCAGCAGGTATAGTATGATAAAGGCAAAAAAAAAAAAAAACCCTAACAACAACAGCAGAGAATGGACCATCTCAGGTAATTCTTTGGTCTTAAAGAAACACTTAGTGCTCTCTTTAACAGGTAAAGAGACTAGGAAACAAAGGAATTAAGTGCCTTGCTTGGGGTCACACTGTGAACAGTGACAAAGCTTAAGACTGATTTTAAGGAGCGCCTGATTTTCTGCACCTTTTTTGGTTCCTACAGCCTCTCTCTTTGTCTCTTTCTACATCACTTGGCAGCATGTCCTGAAGAGGGTGTTGGTCATGGACAATTTATGTTCTTAACTTTAAAATAGTGATTTAAAAAATTGCTACATCACCAAAGCACGAATCTGTGTGAACTGGGATCTTCCTGTAATAAAAACCTAGTCATCTTTAGGTGTGTGTCTGCATTAGCATTTTTGTTCAGATCCAGAGCGTGTTTTTGAAACTAGCCTTCCACTTATCCCGCTTGCTGCACTTGCTGGGCCATGGTTCACATCACAGCCTGGTGTTAGAGCACAGGAACGCGTTCCTTTCAGCTGAAACTAGACCAGAAGATACATTTCAGATGTGCTTATAATTGTCTCTGACAGTCAACAGGCATTTAGTCCGCAGGTCTAAACTAGAGCTAGTCTGAAGAGAGCAGTGACTACTGAGTGGCCATCAGCTCTTTAACATCAACTTTTTGCTCTAATGATTTGATTCTGATATGCCATGTTAGTTGCTAATGTAACTGTAGCCTTTAGTTTCAGAAAGCATTATATCAGGGATTCAGTTCATTTTGCCATAGGCCCAGTGTTATTCACAGAATGAGAGAGAGAGAAGAGGAAAACTACCAGAGTGCCTCGTGACTGCATTTTTAGCAGTTTGATCTCTTAAACTGTGCAATTTATGTAGGCTCTACCTCCATCTGCTAAGATGTGCACTGCTTGTACACAGTGAGTTCTCCTCAGGTTCATCAGGATAAAATGCTTGGGGGGCAGAAGCCAACATAAGAATATTTGTAACTTTTTTTTTGCTACTAGGTCACTTTAAGAACATTTAAAAATCTGCCTGAAGGGAAAATTAACATTTGTTTGAAAATATGAATCAGTTTTACACGTTTTAGACTTCATATGTGGGCCAAACATGTATGTGTACATGTCTGTTAAGTCAAGAGTGAATTAGGGCTAGTCATTGTTTCATTGCCTTAGAGTAAGATAAGAGCAACGTAAATTACAGAACATCATTGCCACTGTTTTAGATTGTGTATGTTGATAAAAATCAGCATGTAAGAATGTATGGTTTGTATTTTCTTCTAAGAATGTTTGCTATTAGTTTCTGAATTTTTTTTATATTTATTGTCATTAAATAAAGTTTATTTTAAAGTAATAATACATTTGATGTTGATTAGCATTGTTTGTTTTTAGATGAATGATACTGCTGCTGCCAAATGCCACATGTAAATTTTTATATCGGGACTGTCTAATTTCAGTATTCCTCCTCTTTTTCAGTTTTTTGCCATTAAACTGTGTTACTGTTACTCGAATTTATCTCCTCTTCTGTTTCTTTTCTGTATCCTCTCGATAGAACTCATTCCTTTCAACACCAAGTCAATGACAAAGACAAGAGGGAGCGTTACATTCTCCTACAAATAAACAGTTTAGATTTTTATACCCTTCCACTCCTATCATGATAAGGCCTGCATTATATTTCAGAGTCATGATTTATTTCTTGATCTGGATCCAGTCTGTAAGATGCTCCCACCTCCAGGCAGTCTAGCTTTTGTGTTCCTTCTCAAGGAACACAGCCCAATCAGCAAGCACATATTGTGTGCCTGTCCTCCACTGGGGAAGGTTAAGGGCTTCATTTTGACTTAAAAGTGATGACTGGCAGAAAGCAACCAAATCTGTTTTCAAATCTCACTCCATTTATCACTCTCTCTGTCTTGCCCTAGCACCCATCCAAACAGTCATCAATTCTCTTCCATTTCTACTCTGATTCTTCCTCTCTACTTTGAGGAATCCCCTTTCCAAGGCTTAGAGAAAAGGGAGATTTGAAAGGCATTTTAAGCAGAGACCTTCTTTGCATTGGCTTTATTCCTCTGGGATTCCCAAGATTTGTTTTAAGTGTAACTCTATGGTAGTTTTACCAGCAGAGAGATAATGTCACCACTTGCTCTACGTTTTCCACTTGCTTAGGTCTATGTGTTAAAAAAGTGCCAGGATCGAATCTATACTACTGCCTTTGCAGAGAGACTTCCTGCAGTGACACGCTCGCATTGATTTGGCTTTAGTTGGAGTGAGAATAACTACAACTTCATGATGATAACAGGAGTTGTTTTCCTGCAAGTAGGAGGATATAGTATAGGCCACATCTGTATGAAGCAGGATGTGATTTTAAATCCTTATTAACTCGTATCTTTAAAACCCCTCTTAGAACAGGTTTTAATATTTTACTAGTCAATATACAAATAACCAAAGTAGCATATTACTTCTTCTGTTGTTGCCTGCTTATTTTTAATTCTTTCTGCCAAAGTGGAAGAATTGCTCTTTTTTTGGATGACCAGTCTGTGCCAGATCAAAGCAAGCTACCTTGCGTCACCTGTGGTACACCCCACCCATTCATTTTACTCTGCCTGTACCTCATAGGAGAGTTCAGCAAAGGTGTCCCTAAGAAAGTATCACCATTTACACCAAGTCTGTATTTTTCTTTGTTATGCCAACCTGTTGTTTCCAATCCAGTAAATAAATGGGCATTTCTTATACAGGGAAGCAGGGCTGGTGGCTGCAAGCTTTATTTTTATTTGCATTTGTATGGACCTCAACCATGGATAAGTAACAGGTACACAAAGCATTGAAAAGAGGGGTATGCGTAAATTCCACATGCTTGGGGGCAATATTTGCCTCAAAAGAAAAAAATAAATCTTAATAGCCTGATAATAGTATTGCATTCTTTTCAGGAAGTTTGAAGAAATAGGGTTTTATTTACAAGCTGGAAGTGCATCAAAACAAGAACCTTTTACAAGTTTTTTCTGCAATGGTTATTACATTCTCTGACACAATTATCCTTTAAAAGCAATGCTAATCTCAGGGTTACAGAAGTGTATGTGTGAACACATATCCTGTATCATCTTTCCAACACACACACATACATACACACACATATGCGTGTGCATGTGTGCTCTGCCAAGTATGAAGAACGTAACTCGTGATGTCTCATAATGCAAGATGCTCTTTTCCAGTAAAGAAGAAAGTCTTCCATCCAGTTGTATCAAGATGTATCATTCTGTATAAACACATAGGATATGTCAATCTCCTGAACGCTGACGTGAAAGAGAAAGCACACAACACACAAACCCTGGGCAATATCTCGCCAAGTCCCATGGTGCAGCGAGCACAGGCCTGGCCACCAAAACAGCGAGAGCTTATAGAAAAAATAGAGATCAGAC